TGTCAGTAGATAGTAAATCGAAAGTTAAGATAGGGGCATGTAAACCGTTTTGATCGATAATGAATAGTTTCGAAACAAATAAATCCTAAAATTGAAAAATCTCGATTTTGAACACCCTATATTTCTGTAATCATTCTTGCTAGACCCCAAGTATGATATATTGATGAAATCAGCTCTTTAGGAAGAATCTAAAAATGCAATGAAATACAGGGTGCTCTATTTGAAATAACGAAGTTATTAGTTGTTTCTGATAGAAGGGGCAACACTGTATCGATGAAAATATTTTAGACGGATAAAGAATGTTCAATTATCAAAGCATCCCAATTTTCAGAATTTTTTGTCTTCGTTCTCCAGATATTTCTAATAGGCCATCTACCATGGATCACCCTGTATATACTGTACAATGTAAGAATTTTGAGTGCTTTAAAAAGTTCTCTACAACTAGTCCTCATGTCAGTGTTTTCAATAATTCAGTAAATTACTTTCAAGTTTAGGTACTCACCTATTGACATACATACATACATACCTACCTATAGTTACCTATCATAGGGAAAAAAACATATTTTGATTCAATCAATACTAAATTGCTTACTTGATTCTATTTTCTATTGGTTTTAGTACAAGCAACTTTGCCTTCTTGTCATTAATATTGAGAAATGAGAACAGTGAAGTTATGCGGAGAATGAGGTATTTTAACTTGGCAACATTGTGTTACCGCCAGTTGCTTCATCTCTTTTTCTCGTAAACATAGTTGCCACATTAGCAATTGAATTTTCCGGGAATGTGTACTTGATGTATAGTAACACTGTTTAATTTGTTGATTATAACAATAAGTCAACAAAATCATAACATCATAACTCAAACCAATCCACAACTGTCATTTGCTGTTGTCAAATTAATTATTCACGAAATCCGATAGTTTTCACGTGTTCACGTGTGGTCCTATACACACGTGATGTGGATATAAGTGTTTGAGGTCGACGAAAAAATGTACTATGTACAGTCGAATTAAAAAACAAATGCCTAAAAGTATATTGGAGGGAGAAGTTAACGTCATCCTATTTGCCTAAAACGGACTATCAGGAATGAATGTTTACCAAATGTTGACAGTTGAGTAATCATAGGTTCTTGAAAACACAAAGCATTGGCTGAGCCAATTTTACACAACGAGAACTAGGATACCAAAATCTTCTATGTTTAATACGTGTACGCTATTTTTAATACGACTGTACCTCGTCGAAAAAGTGTCTATTGTCTCGCCTGATTGCTAGCCTCGGCTATCAATTTGCAGACTCGACAATGGATAGTTTTTCTTCCTTGGTACATAAATAACTATTTTTCTGTGACGGGAAAAAAGTTTGGCATTTCATCTCTGTCGGCAGGTTATAAAATGTCACTTTTCATAAATAACTTTTTTCCCGTGGGAAAAAAGTGAGTTCTTTTTTCCCGGATATATATCACATATATATACACTGTTGATGGCTTTTGTTGTGCTATAGTTCCGAAAAATAAGTCAATAATACCGTCTCCAAGAAAGAACTGCAAGTCCTTTTATCTTCCATTCGACTTCGCGGTTACGTATATTACTAAACAACCACTAAATTCGCAATTTTTTGAAATCAAATCACAGAATTAGACTGACAGAAGTGACATCAGATATTTGATTACTTCAAAAGAATGATAAAGATGCCTACAACGCAGGTGTCCCTACTGTTAAAAACTTAAAATTTCACGTCGATAATTTTCATATTTCAAAATAATGTAATATCTTCTCAATATTGATTAGTCCTTTCTTCTGTCACAGAAAAAAAATTGTATTATACACGGGAAAAATATTAGATTTTAGCTCACGGTTTTTTGTCTCCCTCCGCTACGCGTCTGGAGACAACACAACCTGGAGCTTAAATCTACTACTTTTTTCCCTTGTATAATAAATAACTATTTTAAAACCAATTCAATCAACTGTACGCTACAAAATCTAATATGCGACTGATAAATGACTGGCTTGATTCACCATCCTGATGACTAATTAGTTACGTCACCCTTCTAACCGGTTAATTCCCGAACAAAAAAATTCCATCTATATGACTAAAGTTGATATGTAAATATAGTTTTACGGGGGGGGGGGGGTGGTTGAAAAGAAATAAATATATTATTATGTACGTTCAATAAAGAAAATACAGGGTCATTTTCAGTATATTATGGTGAATGAAAGAAACTGCTCAAGTACTAAAACTTCACAGTGCAAATGACATATGATGATTGTTAAATCAATAAATGACACTGCGCGACGAAATCTAATGTGCGACTGACAAGTTCCTAGCTTGATTCATCATAAAAGACTATCTAAATCACCATCCAATAATCATTTAATTGAATAGGAATTCATAACAAAAATGATCATCACTAATAAACTGTACGAGATAGGTATAGGTAGCTTACACACAGTTAAATGGTAAAATGTCTCAACTTTTCAAATGAGTAATAATATGCATGAGAAAAAACTGAGTTTCAGTCATTTTCATGAGTTCCCGGAAGATATATACTTCTAAACCTGCCTGTATGCTGAAACTGAGGTCTGGTTCATAGGTAGAATATGTAATGGTCTTATGCATCTATGACCCGAAATACAATGTTTTGTGAATTTACATTGTGAGAAAATCGTTATTTTTCATGGGTAAGTTTTTGCAAAAAAATTTACAAAATTTATTTCGCGAAAACTGTTACAGATAGGTATTGGGAATTATGATGACTCCAAAAAATGACAATATACGGGGTGTTCTATTACAAAGTAGTTACTTCTTTCTGATGTAAGCGGCAACTATACGGGGTATTCTATTTGAAATAACGGAGTAGCTACTTCTTTCTGATATAAGCGGCAACACTGTTTTGATAAAAAATCTTAAGACGTATAGAGCATGCTCGATTATCCACGCCCACAAATTTTTGAAATGATCTGTCGTGGAAAACATTTAAAAAAACACTTACCTTACGGAAAGCGGACAAGACTGAACAAATCAGCAAAGCATATAAACACACACACCACCTCTCATGCTTTCACATATGATAACACGAATAATGCAATATAATCACTTTAACTAAACGATGAATTTCAATTTTTCTCTTGTAAATGATACGAACCACTTTTTAATCAACCGTATGCGATGAAATCGAAAATGAGACTAAGTATAGTGCATGACTAATATTTGATTCACCATTCTAATGACTAAGTAGTTACATCACCCTTTAAACCCATCAATTCCCGAACAGGAATATCATCCACGACTATAGTAGGGTAAGTATACGAAGTGGTGAAATGAATTTAATATACAGTGCCACCAATAATATTTTCGATTTACAAAAAATAACTGAAACACTACAAGGTAAAAAATGAAAATGTGCAAAGCAAATCGCAAAGTTTCCGCAATATTTTCTTTATTGGTCTCATCAACATTATGATCTTGTTTGTTTTGTACTTGCACCTCAAGATTGATTGGCATTATCGGAACTGCAATATCTGCACGAAATTCAGGTTCAATTGGAATTTCAACATTTTTGAGAATGATATAATCATTATTAGGTATGGGCAATCCTGAGTCAGTGTTTGGGATGACAATGAATAATTTTGTGCATTAACTGCATTATTAATTTGTTGCCCAACTTGAACACTTCTGGGCGGATTGTTTTGATGATATGACCAATAAGCACAAACAAAAAATTAATGCGAACCAATGAAAACAAAGTAAACATGCTGCTTTGACAGATTTCAAGAACTTCGATAGGTGGCGTACACTCATTTTCTATCGCGAATCAACTTCATTCACGATACGAGACAAATCACTGAAAATATCAAAAAGTAGGGTTAGGTTAGTTGTCAAACTATAATTAATTATTCCTTGTAAACTCACCTCCAAATTTCAGATGGACAGTCTAGTGGCTTATCAGGCGGTAGTGAACTAATTTCACTATTCATGGCTATCAAACTTATTTAGTTCTCATTTGATTGAACAAAGTAAAGGGTATTCGCAAACAATAGATACGAACGACGACTAACAACTGGTGGAGTGGAAATTGATATCGAACAATTCCTCACAGTACAAAATACCAATTAGGTAGGGATATAGAACAACGTGTGACAGATTTGGTTGATAGAACATTATAATTCTGCAAACAATGAATGGACAAGATAATTCCAGGAGGTAGTCAACAATTTTCGGATATAGTTCAAATATTTAGTGAAAACTACTTAATTGACCAAGATAACACTAGTTTGCAATTGTATATTGTATATCAAGATTCGAATGTTTCGTTTTGCAAGCGTTTGTTGGACGAGGGAGATATTGCGCGTATATTGTCGAGTTGAGCCTCCGCCTCTCCTCGCCAATTCCCGCGCACTTTCCCTCGAGTTCAACATTTGCAAACGAAAATTCGAATCGCGATATATATGCTATTTTTTGTATTAGGCAAGCGCAGCAGCGGACCACCGAACCTCATTTCAGAACCCTAACCCCTGCTCATTCTAACCATGAAAAAACAACAGAATTGTGTCAGAATTATATGAAGGAAATTAGCAAAGAGAAAGTTCTCAAATATGTGCGGAGATTATTTAAGCAGCTCGGGCTGTGACAGAAGATTTATTGCTCGAAAACGTATTTGTTTGTTTTTCTAACCGTAAAAGTGTCAACCAAAGGAACGCCTAAAATGCTTTCGGCTCACACCTAATTTCGGAGCCTTGGCAACGCCCCGAAAACAACGCGTTGCGCTAGCCAAATACAAAAATGGATATAGAACAAGTATTTTTATTCTAATTTTTTTGCGGATTCAGTTCAGAAAGTACTGAATTGTGATTTAGAACAAGATAATTCTAGGGTGACGATATGTAAAGTTTTAGCTTTAGTGAGAAAACCTTGTGTTCCTTGTACCACTTTAATGGCAAATAAAGATCTGTCTATCTATCTATCTATTACTATCAATTTATATCAACGAATCGCATTTTCCAGCAAGTGGAAAAGTGCGCAGCCTACCCCCCCTACCCGCCGCAATCCTACCTGGGTCCGTACGCGTACCCGTTCCCGCCGTACTACGGCGCCGGCGTCTACGGCAGGGGGTACGTCGTACCCGCCGCAGCCTACCACCCCCACCACCACCCCCACGCGGCGGCGGCGGCTCTTCATCTGCCCGGTCGGCACGAGGCGGCAGGGGCGACCTGCTCGTGGTCGGGGGATGCCAGCGGGGGCGGCGATCGTCGCGAGGAGGCTGTCACAGGTAGGTGGTCGAGAGTCAAGACTGGTAGAATACAAGATCCATAGACATATAAAATGAGGAGAGACGAAATTGTTCACATTTTGTCCCGAACCAACGTCGTTTTCAGCAGACAATGACTTTATGCGTATTGCCCAAGATCTACCGCCTGTGTTCGAGGCAAGCATTTACACTAGCTGACCCGGCAAACGTTGTTTGGTACATGTTTCGTGCTTATATAATAAGACAGGTTGCCCAATAAAATTTCAGACAATCAGCAAAAAAAAAGTTACTTACGTTTTTTCGCATGAATTTTATAGTGAAAATGAACAAACCACTTTTACTTTATGGGGGACACTGCATGTGATCAGCTTGTTATCAAACAACTTGATTTATCTTATTACACATGGCACAGTTCTTATATACATGATCGTCAAGGTTCGTATCCTACCGACTGCGCCAATTGTGATGAAATGAATAAAACTGTTTGGGAATATTTTTTTATCTACCACCAATACGTATTGTGAAAAATACGACGCAGAAAAAACAATATTTATTTCAAATGTCAGTTTTTTACTAAAAAAAAATGAGAACTAATTCATCATAAATTTAACAGGTACTAAAGTTTGAATTGCTTCATTTGTGGCAATGTCTGAATCAATCAGAAAGTTCAATTAAGTTAAGCTACCTTGTATAATTTCGAAAATACCAAAAAAGTACCAATCAGAAATTTAGAATTATTTCCATAGTAACCAATTCATATTGTTACCTCCAAATGAAGCATGTCGTTAATTGTTGACGTTCGTCCAGAACTACCGGAATATTTTGAAGTACTTATTGCATTACTACTACTACTACTACTAATGTATTACTACTACTATTTCTCAAGCTAAAACGCGTCAAAGTTGACATTTGCAGAATGAGTGACAACCGAGAATACAATAGATTGATTGATGGATTGTTTTTAGATTCACGACAAGTATATGCCCAAACCTTGTACATATTCCTACTAATAACTCAAGGAATATTAACTATGTTTGATTAAATAATTAGCGTTTTTGGTAGCAGGTGAGATATTGTACTATATTCGTAACGTCAATTCATACTGTGATAATCTATGAGTTTGACAAATTTTCATCTCATATCATAATATGAACCTTCAGGATACTAGTATTGTAAATATCTTTCTCGAAAATCGTATTTTTGGCGAGGAAGTACTTCTTTACAGTACAGGACTGATTGGAGAAATTAATCACTCGATCCTGCAGGAAAATTATTTGATGGAACTTCTGCTTTCCTGATCCATTCTATCCATATTTTCTTCGGTCTTTTCTTTCTGTGACTTCAGTTCTCTTATTTTAGTTTCCATGGTTTACATTTTATTTTCATAGTCTGATTTTAGCTCAGTATAATTACTCTGAAGGTCCGCCACTGCCACCTCTAATTGCGATAATTTCTTTTCGATTGTTTTAACGACGGCTTCAGTCACATTGCTCACAATGGTTTTTATGAAGGAATCGTGTTTTATACATTTGTTAACAGCATGCCCAACTACCGATTCAATTTCCTCTCTAATTTCTCAAGTCAAAACCATATTTTTGATTTCTAATTCACATCGGAATTCTGAAATTCATAATCATGAAACTAGACAATATAATTTGTTCCATCTTGACGCCGCTAGCTCCCTAATCGGACAATAAAGATTCACTCATTCAGCCTTAACTGAATTCAATAAACTACCTGATAATATAAAAAATTGCAGAAATATAGGTATATTCAAAAATGAAGTAAAAAAACGGATTATTTCTCAGCGGACTGGATAAAATTAATCATGCCATTTTTTTTTTACAAATATTATTCTTTGTTTGCCAATTTACAGTTGTTGATATATTTTGAATGATGGTATGTTTACCTATAGGTATATAATTATGTACTTCCTTATACCAGAGCCTATTCTGTCTGGAAGTTATTCGTTCAATAAATAAATAAATAAATAAATCGCAATTCACTTTTGAAGAGTTACACTTCTGGCAAGAAATAAATAATTTTTCAACCACTTCAACTCGTTTTATTAGCTTTATTTTGAGGAGCTCGGTTGACACATGACTATTCTGTTCTCGCCATAGACGTAGATAACACTGTAATATATTGTTTGTTTCAGATATGCCACTCAACTTGTCCAAACATGCTGGTTGATCCACTGTGTGCCTTTTGACAAAAAATGTACATTTCCACAAGTTTACATCAATTATTCACTCAAATCGATGATTAGTCCAACGGTACACTTCTTCAAGTTATAGATCAAAAGAATTGACTTGCTGTAAATTCAGGAGTCTGGTCAATGATAGTGCTTTCAAAGCCCAAAGTGGAAGATTCTAGCTTTAAAGCATTGGTAACGTGCAATTGACAGCTCTACAAGCGAACAACTGTAGATAAATAGGTGTATATACAATATAAGATATTTTGTATAGATCACTTTTGTATTATTTTTATATTTTGAAAAAATACTTGATATGAAAGAGAATCGCATCTACCATTTATGGCGTGGGTGAATAAATATTAGTGATTTTTTCAAACTAATATTCCTAACAGATGAGCAAAGCTAAAGTGTAACCTTTTTCTTTTAATTATGTTCATCTGATAATGGAAATCTGATGATTGAAAAGGGAAAAGCTGGTCCTTGATTTACATTTTATTCAATATTTTTATTTTTGAAATATTCAGGGTTAGCAATGAGAATACAGGGTGTTTCTTAAGTACGTGTAGAAAATTCAGGAGCATGTTGCTGACGTCTAAATAGGAAGAAAAAATCGTATAAACATATGTCCAAAAGTTTCGTTTCTGAGATACATAGTGTCAAAGTTGAATTCTTATTGGAAGAGTTCAAAAAAGCAGGTACAAATAAGTAAAAATCATATTTTGCCTTCATTCCAATATTGAATGAAAGAAGAAAAATGCACTGGTGTATCTTTTCTGATATTCACTAGAGGCGACTTATCCCAATAACTCGAAAACAGTTGCTCGCAGCGACCTCTACCAAGAATATATTTTTTCTACAAACGTCAGTAAAAGTATAATTTTTGGCGCATGCTGTCAGTGTCTAAAATGTCAGTTTATGACACTGGTGTTGAAAGTACTAGTGCTAAAAGTGATTTATTTTCATGAGAAAATATGTAACCATAGTTCAAAATGAAGTGTTTATTCAATTAACAGTACAATTAGCGAAACTACAATTATAATACGAAACTCCATGGCCAGTCTCATTGGTAGATGTGACAGGATTTATTTTCGTGAATTCAAATTCAAATTTGTCGATTTATTCTCTTGTCAATACTTTTGACTTTTTCGGTCGATATCCTTCACCCTTTCGCTTCAAAAAAGCCACAAGTTTGTGATATCTGCTTATGTCATGATCATTTATGTTCATCATCGACTTTAACATAGAGTAATTCGACCAAAGCATTGACGATTTCCTTATTTTGGACTTTTATTCAAAGTAGCAAGAAGCACTTTTTCACTGTCCTCGTTTCCACTGACATTTTTCTGATTACACCATTTCAAGAAACGTTCGTATGAATACTCGTACTGTCGCTTTGACTTACTAGGCAATAATTCAAAAACAGCTTTATTGGCAGCCTCTTCAATTTGCGGCGGAAGAAATTCATTTTCTTGGGCACTTTCCATCGAGGATCGAAGAAACGAGAAAGAATAATTCGTGATTTATTGACGTTAGTTGTCAAGAAAGATAAATCAACAAATTCAGTTTTTGTTTACCTTGGTAACTAGTTTCATGAATAGATTTGATTGAATTGGATTCAAAACTGATTATCTCGAGGCTGTTATTTAATCAATTAATAAGTAATGTAAAATAGTTATGCGTTAATTTGAACTTTTAATGGTGTTAGTAGAAAAAATAGTGTATGATATATGTGCTAAAAGTGTTTTTTCTTTTGTTCAAAGAAGCTTCCCTTCTCACAAAATAAAATGTCACTTTTAGCACTTATATCATAAATAACTATTTTACACAAAAGTGTTCTAGAAATCTATTTTTTTACTATGAAACGTTATACAGGTATGGTGCCACCCCCACGAAAGAGACAAACTAACATAAAATTTGATATTGTCATTGAAAAATACCCCTAGATACCAAATTTTATTCCGATATCACAATTATTTTGAAATTTATTAAAAACAAAAATAAGAATTCAACTTTGACACTCTGTATCTCAGAAACTTTCGGACATATATTTATACGAACTTTTCTCCTTATTTTGACGTCAGCTACATGCTTCTGGATTTTCTACACGTACTTGAGAAACACCCTGTATATATAAAAATGTCAAGAACTAGAAACAAAGAGAATATCATGGAAACCATCCATCCTTCTCCTTGGACTTAGTGTTTGTGTTTTTTCCTTCGAAAGAGAATATCATTTAATATAGAGTGTCCCACAAAAGCGTTGAATACTCAACTGGTAATTGATTTCATTTTCACATTTGTATTTATTCACCTAATCCAAATCTTTCAGATGAAAACGGTTGGAAACAGTCGGAGTGTAGATGTATATAAACGCTTTTTCAATATGTGTACATAGTATGTCAAACATATCATCATTTCATTATTTATTCGAAACAATTCAGTATGAATATATTATTGTGGAATGGAAAGACATTATGGAATGATAAATCTTCTCTTTTGACTGCCAATATAGTTGAAATTAATTGTAGATTTGATGTTTCATTGTAAGGCTTGAGCAAAAAGGAGGCAGATATTAAAATGCAGGCATTTTTGTTATCTCAACTTTTCTAGGGGATTCAATTAATTTCGACAAATACAGTGTGACCCACTTAAGACCGCAGCACCCTTATAAAATCTATAGTTTTCAACCGATTTCTTTTTTTTTTCGTTTCAGCAGGAGTACTATCCAGAAATCTATGTTGACACAAATTTGCAAAATAACATCTCAATCTACAGGGCATACATGTTATTTTTTTCATGTAAAAAATTGCGAAATATCATTAGCGATTTTTTTTTTGAGTTTTTGCGTTTTTTCTCAGGATTTATTGTACTAAAAAAATACGACAAATAAATGAAATGTGGGGATCTTTCCCATGAAGCGAACATCAACCTTTTTTGGCCCTGTACATTCATAGGTATGGAATTAAAAAATATACCGACTCCCCTTATCCTAACTTCCGTAGTTCATCAGGCTATTCAAATATTTTTGAAAGGTTCTAATTCGCCTATTTACTTATATTTTCCTATCATGAATGGAATACATTCTAAATACGAAGAAAATTCGTATTTTATGATAATGGCTGCAATTTTGGAAATGGTGGTTTTGTTTCTCTGGCTCCGAACTGAATAGTTCTTTGAGAAATTTAATTCAAGTTGAAATACAAGACTGACGTAGAATTATATTTTATTTATTTCTAAGGCAGTCAAGAGCGTTTTGTTATTTTTCATTCCATTTTTTGTGAGAATAACATGCATTTAAAATGTTTCTAATTTCTAACTATACCAATAAACATTTATATAAAACAAACTATATTTTCATATGAACTGTAGAAAGAAGGATTCAGGTAATCTTTAAAAGACAATAGATAAGTGTTAGTGTAACATTTTGATTGAAGGGCCCTTCATAGCATATTTTCATGTAGAAATTATTTATTTTCCATACCCGTCTTTTGAACATTGTAATTTGATGAGTTATATTATCTGGAGATGGAGAATTATGACAGGCCTGCATTGTGATATGAAATATTTTTCTATATTTGAATCAGTCCCTCTTTTTAACTGAATATTCATACCTGAATTTTTTACCGATTAAGCTCTGAAATTGTAATGTACATTGAAATATAACATTTTGGTAGCATTTTCGTCGTTTCATTTCTATTGATTGACAACGTCACTGCTGTCTTTGCTATTTTAGTATTCTGTGCAACTATTTTAATCAAATTGGTTGAAAATTACACTCGTTTTCAGAAAGCTACAAAATTACACCTATAGCAATTTAATCAACATTCAAGGCAGATACCAATACATGACATACTTTATACATTGAAATAACACCTCAAAATTTGAACTCCTTATACTTCTTGGTTTGTTTGGTATCCTGTTGTTGTCTCTTTCGTTTACTCTGCAAATAAAAAACTTATGTTAATGAATATTTTTCGACTCCAAAAATTGAAAAAAAAAGTCCTGTAGTTGAATAAAACATAATAGGAGGAACTCATGACATAGTTCATTGACTTTTTCGAGCTAACCAGCATATGCAAATATTTCTTATTCTCCATAAGAAAATATCATGTGAATTTTGGAGATTTGGCAATATTGTTCTGAATTATGAAAACTTACTAGACCACGCCCACCGCCATGTTGTCACGTTCACAGATTCAAATGTCCTCTAGTGTGAATTGATATAATTATTATTCACACAAATTTATTACAAGCAATAAGCCACAAATCATAAGGGAACATTTAGACACAATTAAATTCTTACTGCTAATTAGGAATATTACCAATACTCAATTGAGAATTTATGAATTATTGAATAACTAATATTTCTGAAGTTCCCAATCGTAGTTCAACACATGGCAATGAAATTATTCAACAACTTTATACATTAATGCATTCAAATTTTGTAAAGCAGTAGCATTTTTTTTTGCATTGCAGGAAATGGGTCCGGACCTGTTTTTATTGCGGGAATTCGTATTGCTGGTGTAATTTTAGTGCTAAAATCGTGGATTCTCGTAATTTCATGCATTATTTATGCAAATTGAATGCTACTGTTCACATGGTTTCTTTCTATCCAGCTCAAAACGAAAGGTGGATTCATGCAGCAACATTCAACAATTATTATCAAGTAACATTTATCAATCAACAACTATCAATTAAGAGGTGATGGGAATATTGACATTTATGCAAACCAAATTAACAATTATTAATGAATCAATAGTACGCAAGCGCACATGCCCTAAATCTGGGCTATCAAAGCCATAACCTTACAAATTTTTGTTTACAATTTACATAAGGAGCTAAAATTTCGAATTTCATAATGTTTTCTGATATGGAAGAGACTGGGTTACTTTTATTCACAATCATTTTGTTGATTGCAATTGTTTCCTGTAAAACCAAATTTCATAACATTTGTCGGATATCAGGTCTGACATTGGTCTGACCAATCCATGCCATCTCTACCAGTCGATGAAACCAATCCGCGATCATCTGCGTACTAGTTGCGCATTAGAAGAAAACCTGGTTCAATTGTAGTAAGAAAGTTAAAAGTTGCCCAACTTCTTACTTGTTAATTGATAATTGTTAAATGTCTGCATAAACACCTTCATTGAAAACAGGAAGTTCAAATTTTAATTGATACTTGTTAAATGGTGAATGTTACTTGATAATTGTTAAATGTTGCTGCATAAATCCACCTTTAAGCCATTTAGCCCTGAAACTTTTTCTAATCAAGAATTGGTTTTATTTCTCGTTTTTATAGTTGAGTTGACGTAGTTGTATCATGAAAAATTAAAAAAAAATCACGTCGTTTCTGATTGGTCAATACATGCTGTCCTTCTAATAGGACGGTAGGGCTATATACGTCTGTGGAATAAAATTCGTGAACACGTTGGAAAATATTTATTTAAATCATAAATTCATGTGATAGTTCACGAAACAGTCTTTAGGATTCACGGCATATAAAGTTTGATTTTTTGTGGCACACTGCGCATCGTCTTTGATTTTCATTGTACAAAACTAAATGATCCAATCTATCATAACGAGAAAACTCATGCAAATGCTTGGACGATTTTGAAGGCCCCCTCTTTGTAACTCTTTTATGAGTTTCCAGTAAGTTTGTAGCTATAGACCTTCGGAACTCTAATTGTTCAAGCTCTCCTCCATTAATTCTGTGTGATCTCCAGGAATTTTGTACCGCCATATCTATACAGTGAGCAAACAAGGGAAAATACCACTTTTCCCCCTGATGCCAACTCTATATTCACTCAGGTTTTGATCACCACGATCAACACCCCCCATATTTTCGTTGTAGGATTTTATAAGTCGTGGTTGATCTATGTATATTTTTTTTCTGATTGCGAAAAACGTTTCACTTCATTCACCGGAAAAACTGTTAGAGCATTAGAAGCTAAACTCACAACGCTATTCCATTTACTGACAACCTCATCATCAGCCAAATAATATGAAATAACCTCGTTTCTGTTTTTTCACCATGGTTCCTTTAGAGAATGGAGACTTCGGAATAGGGTTTTCTCTGATCGTACCAGTAGCCTTTATTTTCCTCAACTAACTCAACTTCAATTCTTTGAGGAGAGAAAGTGAAGTGAAGAAGTTGTCACAATATAATAATATATAATTATGGAATGCTTCGTAGGGCATTTCTTTCAGAATGTCTGCATACTGTAGAACCACACATGCTCCAAGTCCCATATGCTTGTATTTCTCAGGTAGTGTAGTTGAAGACCCTTGGTACGGATCAAAATGGACTATATAGCCTAGCCGCAAAGCACCAATCAAAAATTTGTACCTCCACCGAATTGGCTTCCCTCTAATGAAATGTTTACAACTGTGTCGTCCGAAATAGGGAATCATGGATTCGTCTATGCTGTGATTTTCCTCAGCTGGAGCGTAGTCAAAAAACTTCTTGTTCAGGATGTTGAACAAAGGTCTCATTTTTGAATATTTGTCTGATTTGTCTAGGTTTGTATTATCGTTGCAATGAATATTACTCATAATATATTGAAATCGATCACGTGAGATAGCTTCACACACCAGTTTATTATTTGTATCGTCTATTTTGCCAATACATCTTTTTCTGTGGTAGAGTGATATAACCACTAAGTAAGAGGAAGCCAATGAAATAAAATAAAAAAAATAATCTTCTGCACGATTTTTTGTTGTGCGAATGTGTTTGAAAAATGAAGTATTTGATTCATCACTTTTTCGTCGAAAAACAATTAAAAAATGGCGGTGGGATATCAATTCTTTCCATTCAGGAAAATCATTCACAACCAAATCTCGTTTTTCATAGTGAAGCTCTTTCAATTGTTTTGGTCTTCGTTCCACGTGGGTTGCTAGAGGTAAATCACTATCCCATTCCTCCTCTCCATCGTCTGATTATGATGGTATTTGTACTTCCACCTCTGCTGTGTCCGTCTCACGACCGCAAGGTCGTGGGTTCGATTCCCAGCACGGACAAGGAACTTTTTTCAATATTTTATTTACGAATTAAATATTGTAAAGTTTCGGAGCATCGGCTGGGGATAGTCCTGCACGATTCGCTGTTGCGTTTCAATTAAGTGCTGCTCCTAAAGTGGCGCATGGAGTTAGTAACAAAGCCTACACAGAACACGCAGAAAGATATGATGATGTGGTTGTGAGCATCAGAGAAGAAGTAGGACGGTGTATGTAGGTGGGTGTGGAAAACTACCAGCTGAGCGTGAGAGCGGGCCAGCTACTTAAGTAGACCTCGGTCTCGGGGGTTAACGAGGATAGTTAGCAGGCCTGCCACTGCGCATATGGTAGTCAGTACATTACTAGCCTACAAAACACAGCTGAAAAACTCTGAAAAGAGAGCTGATGGGCGGTGCCTGAAAAGGATATTAGCCAGCTCTCTTGAGCGAACCACATCAGTCATTGAAAACACTTGGGGTTTGCAAAAAGGTCCCATTGGGGACTAGTTGCTGACGTGGAAACGTCCCCCACCAGTACCAGTCCACCTCTGCTGAGAGTTGTGTTCCTGGTAAGTTATTTGGCTCATCAAAATTCTCATTCCCTGAATCTTCATCAGTATCGCAATCGTCATTGGAATTTGCCGGTGGAAAAATCGCTATTTGTTCTGGAACCTCAGCATTTTCATCATTATCTAACTCTTCCAGCAACTGGTCAAGAGGTAATGACTTCCTCCAATAACTAAGAAACAATTGAAATATTTCAGTTGATAGTAGTGAATAAACCTACCGTCCTTTTAAAAGTACGGCATTTATTTGTACTATTTCTTCTGCTCAATTTGAATAAAAATTCATGGTTATGGTACCAGAAAAGTTACTTGATACTATTTCAACTCGAATAAAATAAGAAGTGATCGTGATAACAAATAGCAAACATATTAACTCACCTCGAGTTGCTCATTGTAAATGGCTGATGAACACAATCACAAACTCAACTATTCAACTCTTGGAACTCAAACATTATTACGAACACCTGGGCTGCAGATTTTTTCTCGATACACTAAACTTCGACGTACATGTGCTGCAATCCATTTTCTAGTAGTTAAGCTCATTTTTATAATAGAGACTTCTACCATCCTTTTAAAAGGACGGTAGGGCTATATGGGTTAATAAGAACCAAACACGAGATTTTTCGACAAGAATACAAAAATTGAAAACTCCTCACCTTCTGCTTGGCCACGTGCTCCGCCAGCATATCGCTGAGATCCTCCTTCTGCAGCTGCGACCGATTCTCGCGCATCTGCCTCTCGTAGCGCACCGCCATCGCGTCGCTGTCCATGTCGAGCTCGGACGGGTCCAACGCCAACTCGACCATGCCCTCGCCCCGTTTGGCGGCGGGAGCGGCGGGCGCCGAGGCGGGGGCGGCCGCAGCGGTGCCGGCGACGCTCGTCAGGTCGTACACGTGGCTGCTGCCCATCATGGCGGCGCCGAGGCGGTCGGGCCGCTTCTCGGGGATGATGTGGTAGAGGACGGGGGTCTCCGTCCTGGAAGAGGGGAATAGTATTGTACAGGGTGATCAGTTAAGGGTAGCGAGCGGCCATATGTCATAAGATATTGGTCGTATAGATTTGAAAAAAAAAAAATGATGAAAGTCGCCAAGAGAAATTGCTGGAAATTATTTTTTCGAGTTTGTCAAACGTCCGGTAGAGGGGCGTAACAACAAACACCAAGTAGAAAAATGGGATTTTTATAGAATTTTGTCTATTGAAACTATATCGAAGAAATCATTTTCATATTTACTGACCATTTAGCTACATTTATTGTCTGGAACGTTTTGTTCTAACTATCAAAATAAAGCGGTGGGGGAAGTTCAATTGTTTTTTTAAACAAACTAAGATTTCTCCCGTTTATTTCGACGGATTTCAGCAAACTTAGGCTCATATGAGAGACCATAATTTTCCCTACAATACGCTTATTTGTTTTCGAATCTTTGACTGTTGCTGTCGCCGCTAGATGGCGTTAGCTGAAATGTTAGCATAGTTGTAATGGTATATTGATTTTTATATGTTTTCAAAAAGAGGATAAATTTCCCTATAATTTGATGAAAATAATTTACCATCTACCTTTCTTTGAACCGTTGATATTGACCAAAATATAATTTTATTACATTAGGAAATGACAGGCCACTGTTTTTTATCAAAATTAAAATCAGTTTCGTAATCTCTTATTAGTCACTAACAAAAAGAACCTCTTAACTTTTTTTCGTTAGACAAACGGTTTTGGATTGAAAAAATGAAATAGGTTCCCCTATTTAACCTGCCTTGATTTTTATCTGTGAGGCCGGATAAAGGATTTAGTGTATAAAACTCGACCAACTACTCGAGATGACATGATAGTCCGAATTCAAAACGTCATAAATATTATACCAAGAGCGGAAATTGAGGCAGCTTTCAACTCCATTCAGAAGAAATTGGACCAGTGCATTTAAAATGGACAACATTTTGAACATTTACGACAAAAACTTCTTGTTTTTAGTGTTATTGCTCCTGCTGTTGTTGGAGAGTTTTATTATGATTTTTTTCCAAATATGTAAATTAGTATGTTTCGATTTTTTGGTTGTTTGCCGGTTAATTTCAAACAGTCCAGCTCTTCAATAAGGAGACCTTCTAATGATTTGACCCTACTCAAAGCTACGTCTGCCACCTTGGATAGTTCGCCAAATTGGATTTAGAATAACTTCACACACCTTATCGTGCATTGTCATCCAAACTTAACGTGTATACAAAATTTCAACTCAATCGGTTGAAGATATCTACTTCAAAATAGAGTAACATACATACATCCATGCATACATTGCAAGTTGAATGAAAGCTTTTATCTACAACTATGGAGTAATTCATATATTGCTAACTCGATTTTCAACATTTAATGACAAACATTATTGTGATGAATCGAGTAATAAGAGTAATAATGACAGTAGGATGGCGTAATAATCATCAATCAGACATCCCATCGTCTTGTCAAATTCAGCTAGGTAGGTATCCGTTCTACTAGTTCTACTAAAGAACACCACTATACTACTGTTTGTGAAATACACGCGAATCCAAAAGACTCACCTTACATGGTTCTCATAGTTTTAATCACCTCAATTCTACAAATACACGGAAAAATGAGAATTCACTGTTTTCATTCTCAACATGGGACTTCCATCGTGAATAACCATAACTATAAAATAGGACTTGACACTTGACAGTTGCAGATTGGCTCACACTTATGTGCGGGCTATTCGAATAGATTAGTACAGACCAATCAGAACCATGGAACTTCTTTGTCGATAACTAGCGTCTAATGGCGCGTTCACATGCTGGCTTTTCGCCTCTTGGCTTATGGCGTATTGTGATTCGATTGGCCGATTTATGTGAAAGCGCGTATCAAGGTCATATGCCAAAAAGTCGATTACGATCCGACACGTGCGTGAAAAGCCGTCTCCCACGTATTTGGTGTACAAACGTTTTGCGGGTTTTCCGGTTCCCGCAATGAAAGGGTTAAGTTAGAAATAATTGAAATTTAATTCAAAACACTTGATTTCTCACAACATATAAATTGCAGCAAATATTTGAATAACAAAACGGCAAAAAATGTTACTCCTGTTATCGAAGTCAAAGCAGAAGTAACGTCAACATCGTTAACTGCTGAATTTTAATCTGTCAGAATCCACACAGTGGATCATTCGATGGGATTGGCAATGCATGATGAATCTTATGTATTTGCGATTTGGAATTACCGAAAGATCACAAACTCCTGAATCACTGGAATAGTAAAATCGGTGGAATAAGTACCTATTTATATGAATTCAATCATTTTTAGACAGATCGAGAAACTCATAGAACTTTCAATAAACCTATTTGAATTCATAGCGCACCCCAATGGCAAAGGTATCTGTCTTTGACTAGCAGCTGATATTGGTATCCCAGATGACGTCACATAATATGCGCGTAGGCACACCATCTTCTCCTTCCACTATGGGTTTAACCAACCAACTGGCCATCGACCGAGGAACCATTGTCGATCTAAATGAAAACCTAGTAGGCGACCTAGTGTCATCTAGGGTCCCTTGATGGAAATTGACGTAAAAGTCACCTTAACAGGGTACGGACAGATCATAGCTGTATTCTTTTTTAATGATCTAGATACTTTAGTTTTGTCTACTGGCATCCCTGACATTGCTGTCACGTCATAATCATGGGCGCTACAAAAATCATTCAAAATTTTAATAATAGGTATGTACAAGGTATTTACAAGTATTTACTTGTTGAGGAAGATCAGATAGCAAGCGAGTTTTGTAATTATGATCCGATTCTATTCAAAATTAGAAGGTATCTCGGGTTTTCCGGGGTTGGAGATAATGATTGTTTCGTCAAACTTGGAGAATTCAAGATGGTGAATCCAATATAGAGCGAAAGAAATTCCTAATTATGATCTGCTTCTATCTAAAATTGGTATCTGGGGGTTTTCGGGGTAGGAGATAATGATTGTTTCGTCAAAATTCGAAAATTCAAGAAGACGGATCCAATATGGCGAAATACATTAGTTTATATAATTATTACTCTACCACAAATACAAAATATGTAGGATGCAAGAGTGAAAATAACGTGTCTGTAAGTTATACTGCGTATACCTACTTCTCTGTTACTTTCATCAATAAATTATTCGAAAATGACTTTTTGTTCAGGGGAGACGGAAAAATCATATGTATAACATTGGGGTGAAATATATATTGTATCATTTATTTTCCTGCACATTCAACGTATTACTTTTCATCAGCCTTGAGCCTACTTTTCGTCCCAGATGAAGTTTCATACATAGCGTCATATTAGTCACTCCATAAGTTCTTCTCAGAATTGTATTTCCGAAAATATATTGAGCACACATGACATGAATACAGTATTTCAGATACCCACATCGAGGTTTCCACCATTTCTCAATCATAAGGCTCAGCTCATTCAGCTCATAGATAAACTTCTGCTCAGCTTGAAGTCAGAATTCATTTAGTCAATCAGTCGACCCTAATTTACAGTCTAAGAACAGTAAGCTTTCAGTACAATTTATATGATTCCTACCTCGCAAAGATTATGCTGGAGTAGTTGACTCTAAAACTAGAGGATTGTTTATCTATATCTTGGTATAGTCATTGAGTATTGAATCAGGAATTCTATATGGAAATTACGTATGATACGCCAGTGACCTCAATATAACCTAAAAAACAACGAATGTCAAAAATCTAGTGCTTATCCCCAGAATTGAATAAGGATGGAACTATATAACTGTTTCACAAACACTTTAGAGTGAGAGGAGACGAGGATCTGTCCGTACCCTGTTAAGATGACTTTAACGTCAATTTCCATCAAGGGACCCTAGTGTCATCTAGAACGACAATGGAAGAACTTCAGCCAGTGACATTATTAACAGTTTTCTCAACTCTCAACAACACCCCTCGCGACCACTCACCCTTCCATCTCGTTCTCGATCTTCTTCTTCCGCAGCTCGATGGTCTCGGGCGTCTCCATTCCGGCGGGGATACTCGAGATGCCGCTGGGCGTGGCCAGCCCCTCGGCCGGCGTCAGAAGGCCGGTCTCGTCCGGCGGCGGCTGCGACTCGCTCTCCTCCTCCTCCTCCTCTTCTTCGCTCTCCTCCGACTCGGACTCGAGTTCGCCCCACAGGGTGCGGTCGACGTTCGGGTCCTCGCCGATGTCCTGCGACAATTATAGTTTTTTATTTTTTATTTATTTCAGTTATTGCATTACATTCTCTTCTTCTTTGATACATTTCATACAAATAATATACAGGGTGGGCCACCAGTAACGCCTCGGTCTCTAGACGGCTAACCACCTATCTTCTTGGAATTCTTCCTCTCTAGGAAGTTGCATGTCAACATAGGCTACCATTTAAAATTATTTCGAAACATACAGGGTGTCCCCAAAAACCATAAAACACTGAAGTTGAACTTTTTTTCAATCGAACACCCTATATATTATTTCATTTTGAGATTCTCCCTGATGAGCTGATTCCAACGACCCATCATACTTGGGGTCTTGCAGTTATAATTACTGAAATATAGGGTGTGAAAAATCGAGATTTTCCAAGTTCAAGAATTTTTTGTGTCGAAACTATTCATAATTGGTCAAAACGGCTTACATGTCCCTATCTCAACTCTTGATTAACTATCTACTGATATTTAATTGGGACATATACCGGGTGATCAAGATTCTGAATTCTGCACCACCCTGTATTTGTTTCAATTAAATGTCAGTAGATAGTTGATCAAAAGTTGAGATAGGGACATGTGAGCCGTTTTGACCAATTATGAATGGTTTAGACACAAAAAATTCTTGAACTTGGAAAATCTCGATTTCTCACACCCTATATCTCAGTAATTATAACTGATAGACCCCAAGTATGATGGGTCGTTGAAATCAGCTCATCAGGGAGAATCTCAAAATGAAATAATATATAGGGTGTTCGATTGAAAAAAAGTTCAACTCCAGTGTTTTGTGATTTTTGGGGACATCCTGTATGTTTCAAAATAATTTCAAATGGTAGCCTATGTTGACATGCAACTTCCTAGAAAGGAAGAATTCCAAGAAGATAAGTGGTTAGCCTTCTAGAGACCGAGGCGTTACTGGTGGCCCACCCTGTATGAAGTATAATCAATGTTCTAGTAGGAATGACATGAATGATCAGACAGTAATTCCTGGTATAAGATCATTCATGAAGTATTATCGACTGCTATAATTGAAATTACAAATAGTGAACAAAACTTACATATCATTGAGATATCTCAAAATAAGAGTCATATTATTATAGTGAACAAGAAGGGGAAAAATAAGTCTTTCAGCTTTGATCATTCCTTTGCATATAAATATATTTCACTTTATTTTTGAATTGCATAATATTTGGGCTGTTTTTGATATCATCTGGTGATTTATTGAATTTCAAAATCGCCTCGTGTGAACTTTGTCCAAGTTTAGAATTTGCAGCCTCAAGATGAAACAAGTTATATTGTCAAGTGTAATGATTATGAATTTCGGAATTCCTAATTAATACAAAGTTTGATTTAAGCTTTTTGTTGATGGTGTAATAGGAAATTTTGAGAGTATTGATTAGAAAGTGCTGTTCCAAAGAAAATGTGTTTGTTTCCTTATACAGTTGATTCGTTGGAGTATCATATGGAAGACGATACAATACTTTCAATGCCTTTTTATATAGAACAGAAATTTTGTTGAAACTATTTTTGGAACAAGATCCCCGAAATATTTATGAGATAGTTCATTCGACTGAGTACATGTGAATAGAGAATAATATTTGATGTATATGTACTAAGTTTAGGACATCTTCTTAAAGCACCAATAATGGGAGATACTTTTCCTATGAGGATGTCAATATGTTCTTCCCATGTTAATTTCTCATCAATCCAAATACCAAGGTATTTGGTATGGGCAGTTTCTTTCAAACGTTCATTTTTTATTCTAATATTAAGATCAATATTTTGTTTATTTCTTTGACGAAAAATTATATATTGAGTCTTATTAGAATTAAGAGAAAGAAGATTGGAATAAAGCCATTTCTCAATTTTTTTCAAGTCCTCATTTATGTTATGTTCTAGAACTACTGGGTTTTTATTCTCATATAGAAGCACTGTATCATCTGCAAATATGGTATAGTTTCCTATCAAATTCATTCTTTCAATATTTTGAATGTATAATAAATAAAGAATTGGACCCAACACTGATCCATCAAGAACCCCTTTGTTTAAATATAGTATCTTAGACTCATAGTTATTAATTTTAGTTCTAATAGTTCTATTTTCAAGATACGATTTCAAGAGATTCCTCTGATTCCCATTGAGATTCTAAATTCTTTATGATGGTTTTTCAATGCGCCTTGTATCTTCAGGATGAGAAAATATTCTTATGAACGAGGGGATCTGGGGCAATTGAGAATTAATCTTGAATCGTCGATAATGGGGTTGAAATGAAAAAAAAATACCTCTCTGAAATTATTGACGCGATCGAAAAAACAACGAAATTGTTTCAAGATATCTCATCATTCTTCATTATTGCAACGGAAATATTCATTTGTAATCATCCGGACAGTAGAGATGCGATCAAAAGTCTATAAATTGAAACACATTGCCAAGTTCATTTACAAAAAAAAATCTAGCCTGAATCAATATTGGTCATAGTTTGGAAATAAAGTGATCGATTTTTGCATGGAGTGCGCAACGGTGAAATTTCCGCTTGTAACAATTTTTTAAACAAAAATTCCCTATTTTTGACACATTCCACTAGAAAAATCATATTGACAATGTGATCAATCAATGGAAATCAAAAATCATTTCGACATATAGCATTGAACTCCATGAAACATCCTGAAGAAAGGAGAAACAAAATTTTTGGGACGGAATTGGGTGATCCCAGTCGATGCAAGTTTACAGTGTACCATCAATCGCCCTGTACAATTTTGATTTATGATATCTTCAGTTTTTCAAATCCATGGATTTTGAGACAATAGAATGAGCTTTTGAATTCTGGAAACCGAATCGAAATCGGATCATTTTCTCAGAAGTTATAATCTTACAAACCCGAGCGAAAATTTCAGGTGTCCCACTTCAATTGTGGGGCACTATATTTTGCTGGCCGTTCTTTTTTGCCGTTGAGTACATTATTATTTTGATAATGTAACATCAAGAAAACGCGATCCAAACCCTCACTCACATCGATATGGCTGGTAGTGGTCCCGAACACGTCCCCGTACAGCGGCTTCCCGTTCTCGTCGACGGGCGGCTTGCCCCAGCCGCCCGCGTGGTACCCGAACGCGCACCCCTCCGGGATGGGCGCGTTCAGCCCGGGGATCTTCAGGTTGGGGTAGCTGGGCGGCGGGCCGTATCGCTGCATCGCGATCAGCCACGGGGGCGGCACCTGCAATCCATCCAATCAATCAATTGTTTATTGGTGTTATTATACAAAGAATAATAATAATACATGTCTTTATAACCAGTTAATGAAAGATATAAATACATTTTGTTAGTGTATAGTTAGGGCGAGATTCAGTTTGTATAGGTATTTTTTCGCAAGATCCCGTTGATTTGCCAGGAACTGATATTCGGTTCCCGTTGCATTTTCGCGTTATAACGGTATTAGGGGAGTATGATAATGACGTCATCAGTGACGTCACAATTTATAAAACTGTTTTAGTTTCCGCATCTATGAACATGAGTTCCCGTTGATCAGCCGCCGGTAACAGAGCGGTTATACCCCCACCAAAAAATAAACCGAAGGCCGTTCATCAATATGCTCTTCCATCTAACCCCAAAAACAGCGAAAATATTGATAAATTATTTGAATCAATTAATATGGACACAGAAAGGATAATATAGTTTAGCACATGACCAAGGGAATACATTTTAATCCGAAAATGTTAATTATTGCTCAGATAAATAGTAGTCAAAGAGAACTCGTTCAAGTTTATGTAGTGATGAGCAAGTGAAATCGTGGGGTAAGTTATTGAGACAGTTAGCAATACTGTAAGAAAACGTTCGTTTGAATGACTCAGTATGGTGACGAGGTATAATAAGAGTATTTATTTACAACCATATATGTAATGTTGTCATTACTAACGTCGTTGAAGGTTGGGAAGTGTCATATTAGACACCTCTACTTCCCGCCCTCAATTATGTAATATTATGTCAGATATGTTCAGAACGAAACAGATATTTATTAATTTTTATCGAAATATGATGGTTGTAAATAAAATAGTATACAAACCTCGGTAGGAAGTTTCATTCCTGTCTCGAGATTATAGCTAACCTCGACGCTTTGCCTCTCGGTTAACTAACTAATCTCACGCCAGGAATGAATCACTTCCCACCTCGGTGTGTAATATACTATTCTATGTCTTAAATTAAGAGAATGTACATCGGTTCTGAATGTTATTTTGTGGAGTGTTCCTTTACTAGCTTAATATAAAACATGGTAGAATGCAATTCTCGACGATTTTTCATATGTAACCATTTAGTAATTCTGAATGTATGACTGATATGTTCAAATTTGCGAATACCGAAAATTAGTCTTAGGCATGAGTTGTAATTTTTGTATTCTATTTACATCTATTGAATTTAAACAGGAATTATAAATAATGTCACAGAAATGTAACTTAGATAATACAAGTGACTCACACAGTAGGATTTTAACTGATCTATCCAAAACATGGCGAGATTGAAATATGAGTTTTAGAACTCCATAGGCTTTTTGTAAGCAGCTACTAATATGGTGCGACAATCTCAAGTTCTCATCAAACCAAACTCCCAATTTTTTTACTTTCTCACTAAATTGTATACAATTACCATTAATTATAATATTTGAAGAGTATTCTTGCTTAAACTCTTGCGACTCAGCTTTACTTCCAAAAATTTATTAGCTTGGATGCATTTAGTTGCAGGCAGTGGTTGATTGAAAATGTATAAAGATTATGTAAGTCACAGTTGATAGTAGTTACCGCTTGATTCGCTTCATCCAAGGAAAAAGACATATACAACTGCGTATCGTCAGCGTAGTAATGTTGTAAACATGAAACGAAAATATCTGGAAAGTTAGATATATAAACAGAGAAGAGTATAGGGGCTAATATTGATCCTTGGGGTACCCTGGTATCCACAGATAAAAAACTTGATACACTTGCTTGATTCTTTACAGCTTGAGTCCTCTTAGATAGATAATATCTAAATAAATCCACAGCTCTGATATCCAAACCACTATAAGATAAGATGGAAAAGAGTAAATTATGATTAAGAGTGTCAAATGCTTTGGAGTAGTCAAATAAGAACAACACAGTTAATTTAGTTTTATCAAGAGCTGTCATAATGTCATCAGAGATTTTTAATAGTGCTGTTGTACAACTGTGGCCAGTTTTAAATCCAGACTGTACTGAGGGTATTACAAACTTTTCAGTCAAGTGATTCTGCAGTTGTCTGTAGTTGAATCACCTTCTTCCAACTAGTCTCCTAAATTGATAACACTGTTATTTTTGCACAACCTGTTTGACTTATATAAAATGGAATAATATTCTCGATAAGCCTTCTCAGGACTCCTTAATCAATTCCTGATGTATATCAAACAATAAACCAACCTCCTTCTGTACAATCTCTATTTCCCTACTAATATTATAAATGTGATGGTGAGTTTGTTTGTCGGACTTTCACGCCAAAACTACTCAACCGATTATCATACAATTTTGTATATTTACATATTCTAAGATGTATTAGAAATGATATAGGATACTTTTAATATATTTTTTACACGGAGGCAACAAAAACTATTCCGTGTGGAGAGGATTATCTTTCGTCTATAAAATCTTCTTTGTAGATAAATTCGTAGGACACATCATGACCAAAGCAGTAAGGTGTAAGGTGCGTGCTTGATGAGCCAGAGATCGTAGACTCGAATTCCGTCCCTACCATTCTTTTTTATTTTATCAGTGATTGATTGAGAAAATATCGAAAATAATACTGTGGGGGCATTTACTCTTGGGAAAGATAGTGATTCGCTATTCCAACGATGTTAGCTCTCGGCCGGATATTTCCTGTATTGCTATATACTATAAACTATCCCTATTCTCTACTATCTATCTACCTATTTAAGAGAAAGTCATGTTATTTACATCATTTATAACTCAAGAACGGCTGGACAGATTTTTATGATATTGGATTTTTTAGATTTCTCTTCGTCCGAAATAGGTTAATGAGTATTGAAATTCGTGGAAATTTGGAAATTCAAGAGGGCGGTTCTAATATGGCGGATTTTGCAATTATGATCCGATTCTATTCAAAATTGGTCTCTGGGGGATTGTTCCGGGTATGTTCCAATTCTGTTCAAAATTGGTATCTGGGGGCTTTCGGGGTCGGGGATTATGATTATTTCATTGAAATTTGGAAATTCAAGATGGTGGAACTAATATGGCGGACGAGTTGTCTGGGATCTGGTACCTGGTAATCTGGGATCTGGTACCTGGTAATCTGGGATCTGGTATCTGGTACTACAGAAATGACACCCTTGACAAAAAACAACAAGCTCTATATTTAAAAAAAACCTAAGTACCCACTTATAAAACAAAATAAAACTTATCATAAAAAAACTGACTATCTTATGTCAGAGGCACGGAGGAACAAGGAACAACGAACTTAAAAAACAAAAGAATAACTGACTTTCAGGTTTCTCTTTTGAAGCTGGACTTTTCTTTTTACCATTTTATTCAGATTTGTGTCAAAGTACAAAAGTGAAATTCCTTCCTTCCTTTCTTCTTCTGTATGGGCTCAACCTTTTCGGTTATTTACCCAGATTCTTCTTAGGGGTGAAGATGCATGTGAATGCGTCTGATCCTGTGATCATCACTTCCCCCTTGTATGCAATTGTGAAAGTGAGTTTGTTTCTCTTCTTCTTCTGCTTCTTTTTCTACTATCTGGCGCGATCTCAAACATTTTACTACTTTTACACGGCGGTTTTGTGCCGTCAACAATATCAAATCGTTTTTCATAAATACCCACTTTTCATGATAGAAAATAAGCGTACGCCATCTATCGGAGTATTTGGAAGCTGTCAAAGCGGTCTTTTTCATTAGTTCACATTTGTTTATTTGTTTCTGCTTATTGGTCACATCCATCAAAACAAACCGCTCAGAAGTGTTCAAATGTTGGCGTCAGGTGCAGCAACGTGTTATTAGTAAATAAATAACCTGTTGAATGCCCAATTTATAAATCCCCAGCTACTAGGTAAATGCCCACCACACTTCACTAGAGTTAATTCATTAATGTACAGACAGATTCATAAAAAATCCGATTCATTAGATTTATAAAATATATCTATGTAAAATATCAATTCTCTGGCAATGATTCCGCAGAAATATCCCCACCACTCGCGATTTCATTCAATTATCCGTGTTTAGCGTTTAGCATTGTTGGCGTACACTCTTCAATGATTCAGGAATGAATCATGGTGTCAATCTATTGTTATTTAGTCTGAGACCTTAGAGGTGGTTTCTCAGTCAGGTAGTTCCTGTAAAGTGCATAAAGTATCAAGTACCTTATTGGCGCTGGGGCCGACGGGCATGCCGAGAGCTGTGCGCAGCTCCTCGGACAGGTCGCCGGGTTTCTTCTCCTTCAGGCGCGTCTCAAACTCCTTGCCCTCGTAGTAGAGGTCGCCGTGTATCGTCATCTTCGGTTTCGTTTGCCACCTGCAAGGAACATAATAGAATAGAATAGAATAGGATTTATTCCTGACAAATGTATCTGAAATGCATTCAAAATTGGAATATTAAACAAGTTTTCCACAGCATACATACCACTCCAAGGCTAAAACCCGAGAATGCAAATATCAGATATAATTTTTTTTTCAGTTGTATAGAGGTAGGTATATTAAAATTAGTTTTCCTCAAGAGACAAGTACCTCTTATTGGACAATATCGAAAATTATTTATGACTATTCCACTCTTGGTCTCAAAAATTGATCAGAATCGGCCGTTTTCACGGTTTCATCGGTATTACAGTGATATTTTTTTGTTTACTAAATTTTATCGGACAGAAGCCAAATTGCCCCACACGTGACCAACCTTCCTACTTTTTAAGCGATAAAATTTTTGACGTTTGAAACGTCAATAATGTTGGTAGCCAGAATAATGGATGCAGTGTGCGCAACTCTCGCAAGCCGCTCGTTTATTGTCTCGATCATGGAATACTCATATGAATACAACTCATGATACTATTTTACCTGGGAATATTCATCGACTGACATACTCCAGCTTTGCTGCTTCAATTTCGCTCATGACATTGTTCCAAAACTTCTCGCCTATGGCTCGTAAGTTTTGATGAACAATGTGATTCGGCGAAATTAATAGGCCACAAGCTGTCCATACCATCAACGAATATTTCCGGCAAAATAGTATCACTTGTGGTATTACATATGTAATAACATCTTGTATATATATTTTGTTTTGAGGTTTTTCCTTGACGATAAAAAACTTTGAATATATAATTAATAAAATATTGTTATAAGATCACCTTCCTTAAGAGGAAGTTGTACTATGATATAAAGCAATAATGCAAGGGTTTCGTAGTCCCTAACTTTTCAGGGTCATTTTTCATTTTGAGTGGATGAAAAAAATTGTACATATTCGTGAAGATCTCATCTATGTTCCTGTCGTCTTACTTTTTCGAAATTCGATTCGGTTCTTCAAAAAAAAAATTGGAAAATCATCAAAAAACACGTTATTTTGCGATTTTTTTTAGAAAAAACTGAATCAAATTTCGAAAAAGTGAGACGACAGGAACATAGATTAGATCTTCACAAATATGTACAAATTTTTTCATCCACTCAAAATGAAAAATCAACCTAAAAAGTTAGGGACTACGAAACCCTTGCATGGCAACAATTTGTATCAAGAGAGTGGCGCCGCTCTCAGAATTGATAGGAATTAACATTTATGAATGGAGATGAAATATACATTCCTTATTTGCAATGTTTACGAGGGTCTGGCATGTGTAAAAAATTAAAATTTCATAATTTCAATGGGATATCAAATAACCATTATTTTATATCATTTCAGACTACTCCAAAATACCTAGGAATTCAAGAATATACGGCGATTTAACACAGTTATGTTACGGCATTGAGTATTCACACTAGTGTATATAATCAAGGGTTACGGTGAGGTTCTCACAATAAACGATAATATTTCTTGAGTTCCCGAAACATGAAATATTTTGAAAAATATAATTTTAAAAACGTTTATTTACGCGTATAATTTGAATTAGGATTACCTCGGGAATAATGTCGGGGGAATCAGAAACAATTGTGGAAACGATAGAAAATCTACTGCCATCCAGTTCTAGGCATATCAAAAAAATATTTATCACAATGAAAAAGGATGCGCTCTTTTATCGGTTTCAAAGTTTTTTCCACGATGACTCATCAGCGCTGCCGTTTGACCAAAGATCTTTTGACCCTCGCCGCATGATTTACGACCTTTTTGAAAAAATAGGTACTGGTATATACCGCTGTTTGCTGTTTTCGTACCTTCAAAGCTACCAATGGAAAAGAAGCGTGAAAACCTTTTAGCATGCGGGGTGAGATAATTCTGTCAAAGAATTTGTATTTCCATGTATTTCTGGAGCAATCATTTATGATTTGTGCATATAGTGGGGTATTGCGATTTTGAAAAATTTTCAACAATGACGCGGGGGGCGTATAATTTGCTGACCAATATTAGAGTATGCTGACCGAGCATTTCTGATTCGATTTTTTTTTTCAAATTGCATATTTGAATATAATATAGATATATAGATCCCACCACTGGAATAATGTCGATCAACCCCTTCCGAGGGGTAGTTTATTCTTGCTGTTTTCCAAAAATCCTTGCTGACCGAGCATTTCTGGTATTACGAGTTTTTGCTCAAAATTGCATATTGGTATATAATATATATATATAGATGTATAAATGTCACCAGTGAGATTATTTCGATCCACCCAACAGCAGAACTAAATTACCCCTCTGAAGGAGTATAGATCGAAATAATCTCACTAGTGGCATCTTTATCTCTATATTTGATATCATAATATGCAAGTTGAAGAAAAAATACCAATCAGAAATGCTCAGTTAGCAAAGATTCTTGAAGAACAGTTGGAATAAACTACCCCTCTGAATGGGTCTATCGAAATTATATTGCTAGTGGCATCAATGCATCTATATTAAATATTCAAATACGATATAACTCGTACCAGAAATGCTCGGTCAGCAAGGATTTTTGAAAAACAGCAAGAATAAACTACCCCTCTGAATGGGTGAATCAGAATTATTCTATTGATGGTGTCTTTTTATTTCTATAAAATATCCGAATATGCAAGTTGAAGCAAAAACTCGTACAAGAAATGTTCGGGCAGCAAGAATTTTTGAAAAACAGCAAGAATAAACTATCCCTCTGAAGAGGAGGATCGAAATGATATCATTAGTGACATCTATATATCTTTATAATATATTCAAATATGCAATTTGAAGAAAAACTTAAAACCAGAAGTGGTCGGTCAGCAAGGAATTTTGAAAAATAGCAGGATAAAATTACCCCTCTGAAAGGGTTGATCGAAATCATTCTACTGGTGGCACGAACCAGAAATACTCGGTCAACAAGGATTTAGTAGTCAGATGATTTGCCCCAAAATGTCACTGCGTTTAACAAATTTTTCAATCAGGGAGCCTAAAAGAAAAATTCAGTAGCTTGTCAGTGACAATTTGTTTGAAAAAATGTTTGATAATGAAGAACAATCATAAAAAAATTGTATCTATAGTATACCTTGTGCTTGTGGAAAGTATTATACGGGTGAAACGAAAGGACCTCTCTCAGTAAGGACTAAAGAACACAAGTACAATATCAAGAGAAGACATATCGATAAATCGAAGCTAACTGAACATATCCTTACTGAAGATGGACAACATATGGCAGAGTGGAATAATATCAGAATCATTGGAAAGGAATATAACAACCAAAAATGAAAAATCAATGAATCCGCTTGCATTCTTCTGAACGGAGACATTAGCATTGTTTCCTGTTCAGTTGATATAGATAGAACCTGGTATTCACTACTGAGGGCTGAACATGAAAATGGTGGATTCAAGATCAATAAATGGAAACATCCTGTAACTCATTTGTAGACTAAAATCACTCATTCATATGCCAACAGCATTATGACACTGAAAACTGTCAAACTACAAGCTGCGCAACTTCCAAAGAGAAATATTTTGCATTTTCATGTTGAGAACGGGAGCAGATTCGGTCCCGAAACATCCAAAGATAAGTAAAGATTCGATATTTGGTCAATATATCTATATTTCTTTGCTTCAAACATTTTTTCAACCAAATTGTCACTGACAAGCTACTGGATTTTTCTTTCAGGCTCCCTGATAGAAAAATTTGTTGAACGCAGTGACATTTTGCATTTTGGGGCAAATCATCTGATTTGTCCCACTACAAATATATTGAAATAATACGCATATTTTTATTTCATAGAAACAAGGAGAGAAAATTAAAAAAAAATCAAGTGAAATAATATTATTGAATTATTGTTACACCATTTCTTCTTTCAATATTATTTCATGTTTTACACTAACAACTTCAAATCAATCAATAAGCAAATAACATTTTGTGTAAAAATATAATTCGAGGAGAAATTAGTATCGACAAATTATAAAAACAACAGCTTTACATTCGTATGGAAATCATTGGAAGATTTCTCGGAATATACTGACAAGCAAGCTCTCAAAAATGGAAAAAAAAATTGCATCAACTTCAAAATCGGAATGATTTTTCTCGCTATTTGCAAATCCGGAATGAATTCACCTTGCTGGATTTAAATTAACGTATCTATTATACTCAGATGACGACTTTTTTCAAGCTTATAACGACTAGCACAGCTAGTCGACAGTCCTACGATTGGAGCGTTCTTTACAATATACGCCAAGTCGACATGATTGTCATCACGCGGCGGTCGCCACGTCGTACTGAAGTTTTAGACTCCCCTCGTAATTCGGTCGAGGAACGGATTTACAAAGAAGTAATGGTTTTATCGTCATCGGCGTAGTGTTTAAGCTCCACCCACCAGTAGTGAATTTTATACTTCTGCCTCAACCGTTGCCCCTGAGGTTTCGAAGTTTTCAAAGTACCACTTCCACTTAATATAATTGTGATATTCATTACAAAATGGCGCAGTCGGAGCAAGAATTTATGCAGATAAATTATGGAAATAATTCTGGAAGTGGTGGAGATAATCATTCCAACAAGGATTGCATAAGTATTGGAAAAGATGAATAAGGGGGATTCTGTAATAACATCTTGTATATATATTTTGTTTTGAGGTTTTTCCTTGACGATAAAAAACTTTGAATATATAATTAATAAAATATTGTTATAAGATCACCTTCCTTAATATAATTGTGATATTCATTACAACATATAAGAAAAGTTGACCAGAATTGAAACTACGTCCAAATATCAAATTACATCAATCTATGATGGAAATCAGGTTTTATAAAGGTCTGAATGAATACAACTCTCTTTCACAAAAGATAAAAAATGTGGGAAGTAGTTTGTTACTTCTTATCCACCATTGTTCTCCTTATTGAACATTCCATAAAAATGACTGACGAGTTTTTCATTCACCCTCAGTGCACCAGTAGAGTCCATTACCCTATTAGCAAGCATTATGTTTAGGAGAAAATCATTGTGGAGGCGATTTCTATGAAAACAATCTACTTCCTTCTCAAGTCAATAGCAAATAGTGTGTGGATTTAAAAAAATAGAACAAACTATAATACATATATTTCTTCCACAATGGAAGAACTTTCAGATAGCTTTCCAAATATACTGGACTCAATATATTTATTGTATTTCTCAAAATATGGACAAAACCATAAGGCAAAAACTAACAGTTTCACTGATGTTGGTTGTGATTCCTAAAATTAATATCTTATATTTTGTTTTTGTTCACGAACGTCTCTCGCCATTCTTTTCTTTAGATTTACTTTTCAATTTAGCTTATCATGCATTATCCAATACATTTAATTATATACCAAGTGGTGCACTTAGAAAACTTTATTGATTAATTTATTTCTCACATTCGAATTCTTACCACTGGTTTTTGCGTTTTGAAAGTTACTTCCGATCCTGAGAACAGCGCTCCTAGCGACGAAAACAGAAAGGGCCCGGCATTCTAGAGTCCGACACCGCAATCACCGCATGCGAGAGTAGCAATTTTTGTGTGAAAAATTCATAAAAAGTCCCGCGATTTTCGGTGCACCGCGCGTAACTCTACGTCGTATTTGTGTCAACCGTTGCCCAACGACAGATCAAGTACTACAGAACAGCAGTTTTCTTCAAGATCAGTTCTTCAACAACAAAGGTAAGAAGAACTCTCACGAAATTTGACCATGATTGAATCAGCCTTTTTTTCAAGTTAATACAAAACAAAATACAGCACATAATATCATAAACAGTATTAATTTTAAAGTAGGTGGTGATTATTCATGAAATGTCACCAGCTAAAGACAACTTATACCAGTTTTTCATCAGAATTATTCAAGATTTGACATATTCTCCATATTATTATTTCATTCCATGTCAGTTGATGACTGATACGATTTTGATCCTCGCCAAAAAATCCAGAACTGACCAAAACACTTCTACTGTATTACAATGGTGGTACACTCCCAAAAAAATATATACAGGGTGTCATTGGAGAAACAATAGTTTCTATCAATCCCTGTTAAACCGAAAATAGAAATTATCATGTAAATAAGTCTGTAATTGTTATTAATATTACTTGAAAAAGGCGTCGTGGAGTTTTTGATAATCAATATCAATTTTTCCCAGCTTGGGTCTGACTCGTTCCCTCATTTTAGCTTTCAAAGTTTTTGATTCATCCTTATCTTGAAGTGATGCTCTCATTTCCATGATGCCGGTTTTCTTTATGAATTCTGGTAGATTGAATGGGGGTTTTTCAATACCCCTTTTCCCTTGTAAGTATTTACGTTTGAAACACCAGTGTCTGGGTACCTGAAAATTAAATACATAAATGCAAATCAAAGGCATCCAGGATTGTTGTAGCTGTTAGGTTAGATTTGCATTTAATCTTCAATGTGGATGTAAGAAATTGGCCAACCCTGTAACTTTTGAGCATTTAAGTTTCAAGAGAATCTATAATAGTTATTTCATTGTTCTAACAAATACAAAGAATTCAAAAGCAAAACAAATTGACCAAATAGAAGGATCAACAGTTAACATATACAGAGTGAGTGAAACTCCATGTCTCAGCTCAATTATAAAAATAAAGGGAAAACCTAATGGAAGAAATAGAAAAAATTTGAAGAGATTATTAAATGGTCAAATTTGCAGATATTTCTATATGTGGAAACTGGAGTAATGACTCGGAAATATACCTATATTATATATTTAAAAAAGCTTTTTAAATACTTCGGGACCTTGAGTTATCAGACATCCACTTGGTCTCAAAAGTTCTGTAGTTCTGTAGTCCTGAAAATTTTTCATTTCATATAGGATGTACCTCAATGGCGAAATTAGATGAGAAAATTGAAAATTACAACATTTCAACTGCTATAGTGCTATTTAATTGATCCTGGCTTAATCCATCATTTTTTGCTATAAACATTACATTGCATCTCATATAAATATAAATATATTCATTAACATTTACAATGAAATAACATGAATAATCATACAGATTCATATCTGGTATGAGATTATTCATGCATTATTAAATTAAATTATAGTTATTGAAATAAACAAGAGATTAAAAAAAAACAAAAAGCTCATGAAAAGTACATTATGACATGATGAAATAAATAAGTGAATAAGAAATCATTCACTCAGGTTTGATTTTCTCTTTGCAAGAGGATATATTTCTTGACTTTAATTTTGAATTGGGTGATATTTGTGCAACTTTTGATATCATCAGGTAATTTATTGAATTTTGAGATAGCTCCATGAGTGAACTTTTTTTGACCAAGTGTAGAATTAGCAGCATCAAGATGAAATAAGTCATAATGTCTAGTATGATGTTCATGGTTTTGAGAATTCCTTACGAATATGAAGTTAGATTTGAGGTGTTTATTTATAATATCAAAAGTAATTTTGAGAGTATTTATCAGATAGTGCTCTTACAAAGAAAATGTATTTGTTCCTTCATAAAGTTGATTTGATGGGGTGTCATATGGAAGACAATACAGTACTTTTAATGTTTTTTTATAAAGTACAGATATTTTCATAAAATTATTCTTGGAACATGAACCCCAAATATTTATGAGATAGTTCATTTTACTATATATATATATATATGCCAATATGCTTGACCCATGTTAACTTTTCATCAATCCAAATACCAAGGTATTTGGTAAATGCAGTTTGTTTCAATCTTTCATTATTTATTCTTACCTCTCTCTTATTTTCTTATTATTCAAACCAATATTTTGTTTATTTCTTTGATGGAAAATTATATATTGGGTCTTATCAGAATTAATGGAAAGACGATTGGAGTATAGCCATTCTTCCATTTTTTTCAAATCCTCATTTATGTTGTTTGCTAAAATTACATTGTTTTTGTTTCCAAATAAAATACTGCGTCATCTGCATATATGGCATGGTTTCCTATTAAATTTATTTTTGAAATGTTTTGAATGTATAACAGATACAGAAATGGGCCCAACACTGATCCTTGGGGAACACCTTTGTTTTTATATAGTATTTTAGATTCACAATTATGGATTTTAGTACTGATAGTCCTTTTTTCTAGATATAATTCATACATTTGTTGTAAATATCTAAGCTGGTTCAACATGAGGGTCTATATAGGAATTTTGGTTCAATTTTCATTACCTGTACAGTGTTTCTATGTGCCTTCAACTGAACAAGTAATTTAGGGTCTCTTGCTGTAACATCATGCATTTCTACTACATCTGGTCTATGTACCAGTTGTTTTAATTCTGCCACACTCAATCTAGTGAGTTTCTTCATTTTTCTTTTGGATAGCTTTGACTTATCATCATTTTTTTTCTGCAAATTGCACATTCCTCATAAATACAAACATGATGCAAAAAACTATGTGATACCTACATCATCCAAATCATCATATTCATCAACATCTTCACTTGGAATGGCTTTACTTGAAAGTGAGGTTGGCAAAGCTAATACTGGTGGTGCTATATCAGCTTTCAGATCAGATATTTTGAAAGATTCAAATATACTATAGAACTGTCTATATTGTGGTGCTAATTCATGCAGACCAATAGTTTCTTGTATGTATCTAAAAAAATTTACATTTGAAACACACTTTCACCAATATAAAGAAATCAACAATTTAGTTCTAGTCTGACAAACATTAGAATATCATCCTAACAGGAGAGGAAATAAACAGCTAATTACTGGGTTAATTCACTTCCTAGGATAATAATGAAATTATATCATAATTATAATTGTTTGATATGCAGGCAGCTTCAATTTATTAATTCTTATTACAATGTGTAATTATTCTTTTAAAGAAAATATTTAACAGTGTTCAAATAAATGATCAGAGATTTGAACATTTTTATTTTCATATCATGAATCATGTTATCTATTTAAAGAAAGAAAATATTGATAAAACCTTGAAATTTTTCAACATAGCTTTTACAATAAAAATTGTTAAGGGAGGGGTGAAAATATAGTGTTTGACCCTGTACACTTTCCCCGGTAGCTTCTCATACAGGGTGTAACATCCAAAATGCACATCAAAATCATTTCAATGATATTCCATGCTTACTCAATTTCAATGTCTTCATCTGTTTGGTCATCTACACATCCTTTGTCCACTGCTCCTTTCAAATCATCATTGTTATCCTTCTGCTTATCATCATTTTCTCTTTCCTTCTTATTTTTCCTCCTCTTCTTTTTCTTTTTGTTTTTACTTACCTTATCTTTTTCCTTTTGTTGTTTGGCTGACACTGATTTTGGTATGGTATTTTCTATAATTGGAATATCCTGTAACATATTTATACAGATAATTTTTATTCTACAGGAACAGTATTTTATAAATGAAAACATCCAGTAATGTATTGTTTTGCAATGACATTCATTATTGGAAAGAAATATACTAATATTATAAAGAGGAAAGCTTTGTTTGTATAGAATAGACGCCAAAACTACTTGACCTATTTGAGGAATTCTTTCACCATTAGAAGTTAACATTATCCCTGATGAACATAAGCTACTTTTTATGGTGGGAAAATGCTTCATTCCTATGGAAAAACAGGTAATATTACAAGGGGTAGTATAGCAAGGATTATCCTTCCCTAGTTATCTTTTTCACATAACTTCTAAATGGCTGAACCTAATGGGTTGAAATTTTATATGGGTATTTTAATGGTTTAAAATGATTTAAAAATATAATTGAATGCAGCAGTAGATGGAGTTGCTGCCTGTACATCAACTACTAAAGGCTTGACTGCTTGGGTTGAAATTATTAATACCTAAAACCACAGAAAAATACGAATTGAGAGAATGAAAATAGGTGTAAATAGTGACTATAAAAAAATAACACAAAAATATGTAATGCAGATAGGTGCATGACTTATTGCAATGACTTATTTTTTTAAATGGTTACACCAACCATGAGAAACCAGGACAGACAGCTAGTTATTCAAAAAACTAGATTATTTTGTTGTATAGAAAGATAGAAAAAACTGGCAGTCTCATCCTTGTTTGATTTGATAGCTGTATAATTGTCCTCTCACCTCTACCACAGCATTATCATCTTTTTCCCATAGTGGCTCCCTTTCAGGTTCCTTTTGTTGTTGTTGTTTGCTCTGTTGGTTACCAGTTCCATCATTGTCTGTACCAAGTTCTAATACTCTCTGATTTTTCAAAGCAAGAACCTCCTCCAAAGCTTGGGGAAGAACAACTTCTGAACTACCCTCCAAGAGTTGTTCAGGTGGATCAACCTTCAATGACAACAATGAGGGTAGCTGTTTTTCATTTATTGGAGGTGGTTGCATTATTGCTGGTGGTGGTCCCATAGTAGCTAGAAGAGATTAAGATTTTATATAGAATACTAACTCCATAGATCATCTGAAGTTGAAAAATAGGGTAAATGGTTATGCACTTCAAGAAGTTATGTTGTTATTCATTAGTAGTTGCTAAAATCATAAAAAATGTCACTCACAAAAATCATCATTTGGCCATCCTTGAGTTCCAGGAGGACCAAAATTGGATGGTGGTGGACCCATGATGTTATCAGGTACACCAGGTGGTCCTGGAGGAGGTCCTTGAAGCATATTCATATTGTCAGGACCAGGTGGAGGCATTTTCATCATATCAGGATTCATTAGTAATGGGGGTGGTGGCCCTGGGGGTGCCTAAAAAAATTATAAATTAAACTATACAAAATGAATAATTTTGCGAATATCTTACATTTCCATGATCACTCATGATAGTTTATCAAATATCTTGATACTTTCGTGAGTATTCTATTGTACTGTATCAAAAACCGAATGAAGATTGAAGAACAAGAACACAAACAGATCAGACAAGCTTGACACAAGCACCAAAATAATAATCTAACCTCACTCCTCCTTCTTCCTTCTTCAACCTGTCATTCCTCTTCTCTTCTTCTCAACGTTTCTTGGCCTCTTATCTAGAGTTGGACATCTAGCCACATTTCTCTTATCATTTTATTCGTTACAAGCACGTTACGAGTAAATGAATCCATCAAGGTGTTCTATTTCATCTCTTCCACCTGGATTATGTCCCTTAAGAACCAAGTATTTTAATAGTTAAGACCCTAAAATGCTAAGACCATTCGAGACAATAGACAGAGACACGTCCACAGAGCACAGAACACAAAGTTACAAGTCCACGTCACAGTTCACAGTGCAGTTTGGAGGTTAAGATTTGAAAACAGAAAAATTAGTTGTCTTTTTGGTTTTGCACTGAATTTTTCCAAACATGGTTTCATTATTGAATTCAATAGATACTGGTCATGAAGACATGATACATGATGCAGAGGTGGATTATTATGGCCTTCGTTTAGCTACTTGCTCATCAGACAATAGTGTAAAGGTATATGATATAAAAAACGGTGCTTCAACTCTACTAGATGACTTGAAAGGCCACTTCGGGCCTGTGTGGCAGATAGCTTGGAGCCATCCTAAATTTGGAAATCTCTTGGCATCCTGTTCCTATGATAGAAAAGTAATAATCTGGAAAGAACAACAAAGAAAGTGGTTGAAATACTATGAGTATGCAAACCATGATTCCAGTGTTAACTCAGTTCAGTTTGCTCCTTCTGAGCTAGGTCTTATTCTTGCCTGTGGTAGTAGTGATGGATCTATTTCAATCCTCACCTATAATCCAGAAACAAACAATTGGGATGCCAAGAAAATTCAAAATGCTCATGCCATTGGCTGTAATGCTGTTAGTTGGGCCACTGCAATCACACCAATTGGCAATGGGGAAAGTGATCTACAAAGTCAACCTGTAAAACGATTGGTGTCTGGAGGGTGTGACAATCTGGTCAAGATATGGAGAGAAGATGGAGAAAGGTAATATTTTTGAATATTTCATTGAATGAGCCCTAACCTCATGTCATTTAGGTGGGTGGAGGAATCAAAACTGGAAGTTCATTCTGACTGGGTTAGAGATGTTGCCTGGGCTCCATCTGTTGGACTCCACAGGTACACAATTGCCAGTTGTTCTCAAGATCGCAGAGTAGTAATCTGGACAAGTAATGATTGTATCAATTGGAACTCAAATGTTTTGCATACTTTTGATGATGTTGTGTGGAATGTTAGTTGGTCTCTGAATGGGAATATACTGGCTGTATCTGGTGGAGATAATAAAATTACTCTCTGGGATCAGAATACTGAAGGAGTTTGGCAGTGTATAAGTGATGTAGCAAAGGGCCAAGGACAAATCAATAATCAATGATTGATAAGTAGTATTATAGTGTAATGTAAGAATATTTCATAATAGATTTTAGGGTATTTTTTTGGTATTCTGATGATTTAAAGTTGTCATTTTAAATAATATATAACTTGTAAATTTGCAATTTATTTTCTTTCATCCTCAGGTAAAACTTCTCATTAATTCATGATATAATAAATAATCCTCTTAAAAAAAGCAATACTTACCATGCCACATCAGGATAAGTCCATGAAGGGCATTAAATGGCTCAAATTTGGAATAGTAAAGACAGCTACTAAAGCTACAACTCAGAAACTTTCTGGTCAGTTCAAGAATGAACAGTGATATTGTTGAACTTTGACTAAGTTTTCTCATCAGTGAACCCTCATAATTCAAGGGAATGTAATGTAAGTTTATTTTATCATAATAATTTGAGCATCACATTGATGATGAAAATCAAGAAGAAAATATATATATGAAAAGTGAGAGATAAATATGAGTATATATCTTCAAGTGATTCAAGATACAAATTCAAAAACATAATGAACATTAATTTGAAGTCAGAAAATTGCAGAAATGAAAAATTTTATGAAAAAAAGGATCTGAACAAAAAGTCAAATCAGGAAATAACTGTACATTTTTTTCTTGATATTTTTATTATTTCCTTGGTAATTTCAGTTTGTTTTTCCTGAATTTTTTGATTATTGATATCTAGTTGTTTTTGTTATTCTTCAAGTCAGGCATTTGAGATAAGAAGTAGGTACCTATTGAAAATTGAGAGCAACTGAATTTTTTTTCTCCTATTGCCTTTAATCAATAATGGAAAAGGAGGTAAAAAGAAGAACCACAAAATGCTAAATTATAAGATTGCATAAAAATTGCATAATTTCATTGATTTGTTGAGTAAGGACTTGATTATTTGTATCAAGTTAAGATGACTATATCACCCTTATATCAAGTCAACAAACAATGATTAAGGTAGTGAATGAAAAACATTTAATTGATAAATCAAGTACCTATTAAGTGAAATGAAATTGTACATGATAAACTATTATTACTGATGACTTCATACATTACATAACTTTCTTCCTAATCAACTTTCCTTTTCTCTTTCTGCTTTGGTCTTATGAATAGGTTTTGTTTTGCCTCTCAATGCCCGCATTCTATCCATTTCATCTTGGAAATCTGCATGTTCATCTCTGTATAAACCATAATACCGAAGTTTAATCATGAGTTTTCCAAGTTCTACATGTCTTGGGTAATAGCTGTGAACTTCCCTACGTAAATGAACTGGTTGTTCACTGAATAGTTTCACTACTCTCATGGATTTGGAATTTGTTGATCGAGCCACTTCTCCGAATATTCTGTTGCTTAATCGGTTCATCCTTCTGGCATATTCGGTAGTTTGCTTCACTAAATCTGAATATCTGGCGTATCTACTCATTACAAAATTCAGTTATAATTTTCCAAAATTTTATTTCTTATCATCGATCAGTTTGGTTAGTTTCGTTCTACTTATTTTTTTTTTCATGATTTCGTGGCCTCAGAGACCTACCCTACAACAATTCTTCTTCTTGAAGGACGTATATACTGTACTCTCTGAACCACAGTTTACATAATTTTCAAAAGCTCACCGGAATACCTAAAGGCTCCAGAGGGCCGAAGTAAAGTGGGGTAGAAGCATTTGCTAACCTGTAGTAGAAGAGTAGAAGTAGGGTTAGGTTTTCATTTTGAAGTTGATTTTGAGGTTAATATTTAATTTCTGTGATAAGGATTCCTCCAAATCCTGTAAATTTTATTGATCTCAGAAGAAATCAAACATATATCTCCAGGTTTGAAGTCTATATTGCGTGCTAGCTGCCTGATTAGTATATTACTTTTCAGCTTGAACCACAGGCTTGAACACCAAAGATTACTCATCAATCACTGCCAGAAAAATGTACATTTACAGAAGTTGGTTCCTTATATTTTTTCTCTGTTACAACATCAAAGCTATCACTGAAGAAGATGAAGGTGTTAAGTATGCAAACAAATGTGAAGGTAATCCTGATAATAAAAAAAATCAATTCATCTTTGAAATTTCAAATAAACTAGTTTTACAATCAGAAAAAATAATACAAAAATATTCTGACGGCTTGCATTGTAGTCTCTAGAATCCCTAATCATAATAAGCTTTATTTTCTTTAGTTTGTAAAATTCTTGCAACTGAGCTAGAAGGAAGGCTGAAAGAAACTGGTAAAACAAGTGAGGTAATTGAAACTGGATATGCAGTGGATGATGTAAAACCTAAAAAGAAAAAAGAATATAAAAAGTCAGAATTGAGATTGGTAGAGTCTCTAGAGGGTGTATGTGATAGAATATTAGAATACAACATTCACAAAGAGAGAGAAGACAGTACAAGATTTGCCAAAGGCATGAGTCAAACATTCAAGACATTACATGGATTGGTTGATAAAGGAGTCAAAGTTGAACTGGGTATTCCATTAGAGTTATGGGATAAACCTAGTGCTGAGATAACAAATATGAAAACACAGGTATAGTAGTCATAATTTTTTTGAGATCTGAAAACATGAGGTACCTATGTGATTATATCAACATATGCTCAATTTCCTCAAACAACCATTTTCATTCAGTGAGAAATATTGTCCAAAAATGATCTTGAATTTTAGTGTGAATCATTATTAGAAGAAAATGAAGGTGATATAGAAGATTGGTATTTCAATTATCAAGGAAAAGACTCTCTTAAAAAATACCTTTGTGAAGATAGAGCTCTGAAAAATCAAAATTCCAAGTGCCTTTATGAACAGCTGAAGGGAGAAACAGGAAGTAAGAGACCTTCATCCAATGAAGAATTGTAATTATTGACTAAATAATCTCAGGAATCTGAGCAGGTTTGCCTCAGTGCCTATAGTGATGCCAAAAACCCAAGAAAAATGTAGACATGCATTTATAAATATTTTAGGACCTTGCTCTCCTTCTAAACTGTTTTATGTATATACTTTTTTACATTTTATTTTCATCATGAGTCAATATGACTTCTGATTCTTCATGTTTGTGATTATATAGAATAAAATGATTTGATTATACTTGGGTTCTTCATACCTACCTAATTAAAGTCTGCTCAAGATTTTCAATAGTTTTCCCAATCCCCAGTAATTCACCTTGATTTGAATATCAATTCAAACATTTTTTCCCAGATTTTTTGTCTCCTTTTACTTGGACTGAGTTGCACTGATTTTGAACAGAAAAAACTTCATTTATTTATTTGAAACAATTTAACTTTTAAATGTTCAAGTAAAAAGTTTCAATTATGCAAAATGTGGCAGAATGAAAAATTTGTGTAAAGTATCACCAATTCTTAGCTGAATTTCACAGTACTTGGATCAAAGGGACCACTAAAAGGTGATCCATTTACATTCCATGCTTTTTTAAGTGTGGCATTAAGTGCTAATTCTTCTGAAGTTGGTAACCCTAACTTCTTTCTCTCTTGATTCCACTGTAGTTCTTCTATTTTCGATTGTGCTTCTTCTGGTAATTCATCATATGGCCTGGAACAATCTATTTTTGAAATGTCTAATTCTTTCTCGCCCTTAACCAAACATTTCCACCAAATTTCCTGACATTTCTCCAGATGTATTAGTAATTTATTATCATCAATGGACCATACTGCTTCATTTGCTTTACATTTTTGAAACAATTCACCATCAAAAATTAAACCATCTTGTCTTGTTTTCAAAGATATTGTACATGGATGGATTGTTACCAACAAATCTTTTCTTGATATTTTGTCTGGTATTTTTATGATTAAATCTATCTCTGCAATTGTCTGTGACCAACAATAGTTGTCAAACTTGCTTCCGTTATAACTCTCAGAGTCTGTAAATGGGCAATCATGATTCAAACAAACTTTCTTTGTAGCACCAACAACTTCACTGACAGTGGGTTCACTATGTTCAATTTCAGGCACAATAATTTCTTCCTCAGCAATAGGGATATCTATTTCAGAATATTCTTTCTTCTGAATTTGAGGTTTCCATTTGTAGAATGAGTACCTCACCAACTTTTCGGCTAACCCTTCAGGTAAACCAACAACAGCATCAAGTTCATTGGCGACGTGATAAAAATCCGTTCTATGAAATTGTTATATGAATTTCATAACTGGACAGTTCAGAAACTCACCTTCTTTGTAAGAATCCAAAAATTTGATCCAAGAAATTTGGTAGCGTCTTACATTCCTTCAGAAGTTCAAATAGAATATTGTCCTGAATTTCACTATTGGACATTTTGAAATAATTTCAATTTTTCAACATAAAACAATGAAGGTATTGCCAAATACAGCCTAGAGCACTATGGTACAAAATAATATTACTATAATAGTATAATATAATACCACAAATTGAAATAGAATATTAATATAGTGAAAATTTGAAAAATTTTCAAATGCCAACAAATGTCAATGACAATCGCAAATGTCAATTTCTACAAAGTGTCAAGTGTTGACAACCTAGATCATAAGCATTTATATGATCTAAGGTTGCCAATGGAGGATTTGCACTATTAGTGTCTAGCGACCAGATGCACCAAATAATTTTCGTGTGGGGGAACGTTACTTACAGCGCAGAGTAGGCCCTGGCACAGATCACAAGATCACCCAACCACGACGCGCGAGACCAAATGAGTCCCTGTTCCATACTGTGCTAAAGTGCATGCGGGACAAACGTTGCAGCGAAACAATAATAATTATTATTATTTGTTGTGAAATGTAACAAATAATACAACTACTTTCCTAGTTAATACCATGTTATTTTTCATCGATGTAAGTTGGGGCATTTTCAAGGCACTCATTCAGAAGTTCTCCTGGGTGATTCCTATTCCTAATATGATTTCTATGTGAGGTTTCAAAAAAACAGACACATCTAAACAGCGTTTTTCGAACGTAAATAACTATTTACTCGAAAACGGTATATCCTGTTTCTCATTTTTAACCGCATAATTGTCTACCTACCGGAGCTATTGAATGTTCCAAATTTGTTGTTAATCTTAATCCATTATCTTTCTCGAGGTAGGAAAGATATGAGGAGGTCGCGTGCGAAACCTAACAAAGTAAACCAGTACGTAATACACCATAAGGTAGTGAAGAATAGGTAGGTTCTATAAAGCTATAGTGATGGAGAAAACTCTTGATAAGGGCCTTGCTACTGGAATCATGGACTGCAGCGCCTAGGTCCATAAAAGCAATAAGTTGACTACGCCCGGAATACTTACAACATTTTATGCGCGACCGTTTTTCACTTTTGTTTACTGTAAATTTGGAATTTATTAATGACATTATCTTGAATCAATTTTGCCAAATTATGTATGTCACTGGCAAAGAAAGATCGAATGGTAGTCTGCTTGAAATTACTGAAAAAACAGTGAAATTACTTCACCGCCCGATCACATACTTCACCACCCAATCATCTACTTTACCGCCCGCCGGACTACTGTACCACCAGCTGTACTCATTTACCGCCCTAGGGCGCAAAATTGCTACTTCACGCCCGCGAATAAGAGAAATAAAGTGCCACTACGTCAGATAGGGTTTGTGCATTAAATATCAAATCATATATCTCTATTCCTCAGATATATCATGATATCCGGATTGTTCACTTGACATTTTTTCACTAATACTTTTTGACTTCATAGAATACCTTAAAAGAGTCGGCGCCCTTTCACATCCTTCCGTTGTCAACCTTATGACATATGTCGAACAACACTTTAACAAAACTCGTTCGTGTATGTAGAACGGCAAAGCTATGAAACTGTTTTCCAATGGAAGTAAAAACTTTATACACTCCGAAAGTTAAAAAAAAAAATCAAACACCTACCTCCTCTCACTACCCTCCATATGGTACGCACGATGTTCTTCGAACATCATAGGATTTTCCTTTCGTACGCTTCAAGAGATAACAGAATATATAATATGATCACTTACCTGATGAACTATGAAATTCAATTTTTTAATTGTGAATAAAAGATCTTTTTTTGAACAAGTGAATCGACCGTACGGGATGGAAACAAGAATGAGAACGAGTAATAGTGCATGGCTTAATAAAGCTTAATGCTTGATTCACCATCCTGATGACTTAAATTAGTTACGTCACCCATTTAACCGAGCAATTCCCAAGTATAAAGTAAGTATACGGAGCGGTGAATAAATTTGATACACACTGTCACCAATAATCTAGGGTCATTCATGAACCGTTTTTGTATGCATTAGTTCTCTTGAATAATTTATGAAAATTATGAAACAACTAAAACACTACAGGTTGTAAAATGTACATGTGCGGAGAAAATCGAAATGTCTCACGTTTGTAGACATTTCTTTTTCACCAATAATGAAATCGAAATCATACGTTATGTTCCATAAATATTCTTTTCTCGTATAGTTGGCTAGATGAATTCTTCAGTTCAGACAAAACCTGGCCATCTATATGACAAGTTAGTGTCTATTTGTCATGGTGACATGAATGTTATATCCACACTCAAGAATGTTGTGAGAACAAATATCTCTGAAGTACATTGGTCATTGAGACTCGGATCACCCAGTATATTCAGAAAATTGAAGCGATACTAATAATTCCTCAAATTCATGCTATCGTTACGGGAAATTTTTCGACCAACTATATTTTATAATTATTTATTCATTGTATATGAATCTAATACATTGTGGTTCTTAAAAAAATAAATATAAATATAAATATAAGTAGATTAAAAATCTGGAGGTGGTACTTGAGGTGGCAATTTCTTCCGGTTCTCATCATAGTTCTTCAGCAGTGGCTCAAGAGCTGGATTTTCCGCATCTGTTATCTTCTTTCTTCGCATCCCGCTATGTTTGAGAGAACCTTCGAAATTCCTTTTTTGACTGCGGCTTGTATTACTATTCCATAACACAATCACAACGACGAGCAGCAAAACGAATCCGAAGGCAGCTCCCACATATATTTTGAATAGTTTTGTATCGGAATACTAAAAAGAATTTGAGGGTTCACTTGGGAAAAGATATTAATTTTTCAGGAGATAGCAGGCTATTGATTGTATATCAATATCAATTTCAAAGTTTGGCAATTTACTGACTATTTTTATTGGGTACCATAGGTAACTGATGGATGAAAGATCCACTGATTTGTCCAAATAATCCCTTTCTTGAAAAATGAGAGAATCATTGTTGAAATATCTAACATAAAACAATTACCTACTTTTAAGACAATATGATATTGATAACAGGCTTTTACGAAAGTGTAAAGATATATAGAAAACTATTGGGTATTGCAGTTTTATCGATACTATTTTTTTATTTTTCAACTCCGCTATAGTGCCTAGAAAATCTTCACCAGGTTGATGATTTTTCAGCTACATTTTTTGTGTACCTACTCTAATGTAGATGAGATTCGGGTAACGGATTCGGGGTGTTACCTATAACTATGGGACGAAACTTCAGAGAGTGAGTGACATATTTATACATAATGTCCGTAGTTATTTGGTTTATGAGATACAGCAGGACGTTGAAATTTGAAAGAAACCCTCTGAACTGATTTGAGTAAAATCTGATAACTAGCTCGAAATAAGTACCAAGTTTGAGACAAACGGGCGAGATGTTCATAAATACCCACATATGTATTTACGAACTTTTTTCTAAAAAAGATCTCACAAATCACATGTTGAAATTCAGTACCGTAGTTAGGGGAACACCCTGTATAATGAAACAAAAACCTATACCCGTTATTTACTCACCAACATACGTAGGCACATCGAATCATCTACTGGAGAGGAACATGGAATGCAAGCTTTAGATCCAGGTTGATTTTGATATTGACCTGCTGGGCAAGTTTTGCAGAAAGCTTCGTCATCTCCACTGAAGGTATGTTTGGGACAAACAACTGAAAAATGAAACACATTCCAGAGTGTTAAAAAATCAATAAAATTTCCATTTGCATGGAATTAATCTTCGAAAGCAGAATGAAGCCATGTCGCTTCTACTTTATTTCGAACTCTATACTTGTCGACTTATCATGAACAAACCTAGCACTACATATGACTGTAGTTTTGATTCATAAAATTATGCTAAACTCACCACATATTCTCTGTTTGAGTTTTTCAACTCCATATCCTCCTTTGCAAACTGTAATAAGTTTGGGACGTTTAACAAGTTCATGTTTTCTTTCGGAAATCGTAATATTTGTGAGAAAATCTAGAGCTGGAGTGATTTTCGAGAACACTAGAAAATATAGAAAGTTAGAAACTATTTTCTGCGATATTTGATGATTGCATTCTACCTGGTAGAGTTTTCAGAATAGCAGCATTTTTGTTAACTAATCCGACCATGTTGTTGTATGTTTTAAGTTTGCAATTGTTATTGCACCTGGATTCATCCATTGTGGGGAAAATATGATTGATTTCATTCATTGTAGCTACTACAGTAACATTGAAGAAGTTGTTGTCAATCTGAAATAATTATTTTTAATAACTTTGGTGAGTTAAGTGAGTTAGTCAATATTTCTTACATCCGTGAAACAATGGGGTCTTTCCACATCTACTTTGCAAAGCTTTCCAGTACCTCCGCATAATATTGGACTTATCAATTTTGGGAGGTAGTTATATAAAAGATCACCATCAGAAAGTGAACAACTGTCATTGAATGCATAGAAAAGGATTGTTTTAATTTTGTAGATAGGAAATGTGATCAATTCTAGTTCATGGTTGTGTTTTTCCTTGTTTCCGGTCTCCTCTGTTTTGACACAAGTATAGTTTCCTGCGTTTTTAATATCGACTTCTTGCAATATCAAAGGATTCTCATTCATTGGAAGTGCATCTCCTAATTGTAAAAAAATAATATAATTATATAACTGTCACCTATGAATCAGAATAAACTTAATGATATACAGGCTGACTGACAAAAAATACACCGATTGTCCGATTTTGAAAAACAGAAAAGCAAATGAAATGACTCATCAGTACTAGGAATAACTTCAGCAACTGTCAATTGAATCATATAGGTAGTTTTCATAATTTGTATGACAAGTTGAAAGGGTTATCAATCGAAAATGCTCACCCCTATATCAACACAAGTTGAAATTCAGAGTTACAAGTTGTAATTTCAAGTTATGAGTTAGACAAGTCGGAAGTTTCAAGTTGAAATTCCAGGTTACTAATTCGTGTTCTGAGATAAAAGTGATAATTACTACTTAGAAGTTGTGATTCCGAACAGGTATTACTAGTAAAAAGTAGAAATTTGAAATTACAACTCGGAATCCAAAGTTACGAGTTGAGTTAGAATTCCGAGATACAAGTCGGCATTATGAAATAGAAAAATGTGGCTCTTTTACGCTTCCGTACTTGCCTTCTGCAGTAGAATCATTCCTGAATGTCCAAGAATAAGATGCGCCTTTATTTTCCAAGAGCATATCAGCTTTGTTGTGACAAAATATCTTGATGGTTGATCCAGGATACGCGTAAATATTGGAATCTGATACCTGCAGATCGTATTCATCATCCAGAACATTCTCGATATCATCATTTTCAATATAATTCGAACTTCTTCCGAGACTATTCAGATATAAAAGACTTCGTCTTTTACGTTCCAAGCGTTGTGTCCCATTGCTTATTATCAGCCCATCGTGAAAACTGATGAGGTTAGAGCAGTTATAGTGAGTAACGTCCACCTTTTGATCATTGGAGATGGTTGATTCGACTTTCGACAAATATGAGTCGACATCACAAACGCAATATCTGTTGGAACTGAAGTCACTTTGCTTGCAAGGTTTACCATCACCTTTGAGAATCAGCGGTTTCGTATATTCTGCTTCGGCGGATACATTGGTATGGCTTTTGGAACCTTTGGAAATATTGAAAAAATCGATGTATTCTAGATCAATATCTGACCTCGTTTTGTTGAGGAGCTTTTCCAGTGCAGTTTCATTGATCTTATCAATTTTTTTACCGGAATTATTGACTATAACCACCATCATTTTAGTGTTGGTGTCTGGGTACTCCGGAGAATACAATTTTGTCACCAAACCAGCTGCATGAGTGGTAACTTTCTTGAATCTAGAAACTTCTTGTTCTCCTGTGACGTTCTGTTGTTCTGTAGCCGTTTTCATAATGGAATTTTCATCTTCAACTCCAATTTCAGTTAGAATTTCTTTTTCTTCCATCAACTCTTCAGATGATTCTTTGACAACATTAGTAGTGACGTAAATTTTTTCAGTAATGTCTTCTAGTGTATTTGCAGTTTCATGTATAGTGTCTTCTTCTCCTTTGACTCGTGTCGTAGTATATTTTGTAGTAGTTTCACCCTTTGTATTTCCTTGTTCTTCAGTAACCTGAGTAGTGACTCGGGTAGAGGAACCTATTTTGGTGATATTTTTGATATTTTCTGTTGTAGATTTTTTGTGAGATACTTTCTTTGTCTCTTCTGTTTCTTCTTTAACTGACTGTGAAGTATTCGTTTTCCCTATAATTTGTTCTCTTGTGGAAGTTCCTGTAGTGATTTCTGAATTCAGTATAATTTTTCCTGTAGTCTGTTCTATTTTAACATTAATTTGCTCTGCCGATTTTTCCACATGAATTGAAACTCTTTCCGTAGGCCATTCCTCAGTAGATATCACTTCCTTTGGAGATGTGCGTACTGTAGATTTTGTTTTATATGTGCTCAAATGAGTTGGAGAATGAGGTTTTACTGTAGTATATGGTGTTTTTTCATGATGTTTCGCTGTTGTTGATGCATGAATCTTATTTTCTGTCGACAACTGATTGCCAGTCATACATTCTTCACATAAAGTATCATTTTTATCATTCTTGTGGAAATTGAATAGTTGATTTTCATCCACTTCTTCTGTAGTCTCTGGAGTTGCACTCATATGGGTTTTGGATTGAGACACATTTTCAAAATTTAATTTGACAGTGACAAACTGTGACGTTTCCAATGGTTGTGTGCTTTCAATCACAGGGTTTTCATTTTTTACAGATTCTCTTTCTGGAATTCTTTTATGGTTTTCTGTTGTTTTATCTCTTTCCTCACCAGTTTGTAGGGATTCCAAATGTAATTCAGTTGCTTGATGAATTACTCCATGATTTTCGGATGAATCCTCATTTTCATCAGATTTTGGAGATTTTGATTCAGAATCAATAGATCTCAGGGTTATTTCTGAGTTTTCTGATATTTCAGTATTTTCAGATATCGAAGTCTCAGATTCTGATTCATCTGATTTTGAGATGTCTTCTATTTCTTGGTAATCAGTTGTTCCGTTTTCGGATTCAAGAAATTTCAACTCAGATTCAGTTGATTTCGAATTATCTATAAGTTCGGTTGTATCACCGTCTGCTTGAAGATTCGAATGCTCAATTTCTATTTCAGTGGAACCTGAAATTTCTTCACTGTATTCTGTTGTTCCACCTTCTGCCTCTACGGATTTCGAAGAATCCAAATCAGATTCATTTGATTCTGAATATTTTTCATTATATTCGGTGGATGATTCCTCATATTTTGAGGTTTCAGATTCTGAAATTGTTTGTTGGTATTCAGTTGTTTCACCTACAGCTTCAGATTTCGAATATTCAAATTCAGGATTATATTCTTGCTGTTGAGTTGTTTCAGATTCATGAGATTTAGAAATATCTGACTTTGATTTAGTTGATTCCATAATGGTATCCTGATGTTGATTCGTTTCACCATCAACTTCCTCAAATTCAGAAATATATACTTGGTGTTCGGTTGTTACCCTTTCAGCTTCATGAGATTTCGAATTCTCGGATTCTGATTTAGGTAACTCCGTAATAATATCTTCATGATTTTCGGTTATTTCAACCTCAGATTCAGAAAACTCCAATTCTGAATCAGTTGACCCTGAAATATAATCTTGATGTTCTGTTTCTTCTTCAGATTCTATCGATTTCGATGACACATATCCTGTAATATGTTTTTGGTGTTCAGTTATCTCTGTTTCAGCTTCTTCAGATTCAGGATATTCTTCTGATTCGTTAGATTTTGAAATATTTCCATTGTGTTCGGTTGTTTCACTCTCAGTTTCCTCAGATTTATTGAATTCCAATTCTGATTCAGTTGATGTTGAAATATTTATATATTCGGTTGAAACACCTTCTGCTCCATGATTTGAATGTTGAGGTCCTAATTCAGTCGATTCTGAAATTTCCTCACGGTTTTCTGTTATTATAGTTTCTGCTCCTTCAGACTCCGACGATTTCGTAGCTGCTCCAATTGTTTCTGAAATATCTTCATTGTGTTCAGTTATTTTACTTCCTGTTTCTTCGAGTTCTGAGAACTTTAGCTCTGATTCAGTTGTTTTGGTGATGTCTCCATGGTTGTCAATGGTTTCATTCTCATCTTCTTCAGATTTCGAAGACTTAGAATCTGATATATATTCCAGGTGCTCAGTTGTTTCACTTTCAGCCTCATGAGAATTTAAAAACTGTGAATTTGATACAGTTGATGTATCTTCATGAAGTTCACCCGTTTTACCTTCTGCTTCTTCAGATTTTGAATTCTCAAATTCTGAAATATTTCCTTGATGTACAGTGGTCTCCCCTGCAGATTCTGCAGATTCAGGAATTTCTGATCCTATTGATATTGAAATATTATCATTTTGTTCTATCGTCTCACTTTCTCCTTCAGAATTTGTAAGTTCAGATTCTGATCCAGTTGATTCTGAAATTTCTTCGTTGTATTTGGTTGATTTACTTTCTTTCCCTATGGAAGTTCCTGTTGCTGATTCTGAAGTTTCTTCAATGTGTTCGGTTGTTTTCCCTTTTGCTTCCCCTTCAGATTTTACAGTTTTAGGTTCTGAAATATATTTTCGATACTCAGTTGTTCTATCTTTAGATCCATTAGATTCTGGAAACCCTGATTGTGATTCAGTTAACATTGAATCTTCATGATGTTCACTTGTTTCACCTTCTGCTTCTTCAGATTTCGGAGACTCAAATTCTGAAATATCTTCTTGAAGCTCAGTGGTCCCACCTTCATTTTCTTCTGGTTTATTGAACTGTGATTCAGTTGACTTTGAGAAATTCTCATGTTCGATCGTCTCCCTTTCTGCCTCAGAATTTGTGAGCTTTTCAAATTCTGATCTAGTTGATTCTGAAATTTTCTCGTTGTATTTGGTTGATTCACTTTCTTTCACTATGGATTTTAATGATCCCGTTGCTGTTTCTGAAGTTTCTTTATTGTGTTCGATTGTTTCACCTTCTGCTTCTTCAGATTTTGAAAATTTCGATTCTGATTCAGATGAGTTTGTGATCTCTTCATGATGTTCAGTTGTTTTACCTCCAGCTCCTTCAGATTTTGCAGATTTAGGTTCTGAAAAATATGTTTGGTGTTCAGTTGTTCCACCTTCAGCTCCATTAGATTCTGGAAACCCCAATTCTGATTCAGTTGACATTGTATCTTCGTGATGTTCACTTGTTTCACCTTCTGTTTCTTCAGATTTAGAATACTCCAGTTCTGAAATATCTTGTCGAAGTTCAGTGGTCTCACCTTCAGTTTCTTTAGATTTATTGAACTCTGGTTCAGAATTTGTAAGCTTTTCAGATTCTGATCCAGTTGATTCTGAAATTTCTTCGTTGTTTTTGGTTGATTCAGTTTCTTTCTTCATGGATTTTAATGATCCTGTTGCTGTTTCTGAAGTTTCATTATTGTGTTCAATTGTTTCACCTTCTTCTTCTTCTTCAGATTTTGAAAATTCCGATTCTGATTCTGATGAGTTTGTGATCTCTTCATGATGTTCACTTGTTTCACCTTCTGCTCCTTCAGATTTCGAAGACTCAAATTCTGGAGTGTGTTCTTGGAGTTCAGTAGTCTCACCTTTAGATTTTTCAGACTCATTGAACTCTGATTCAGTTGGATTTGAAAAATTCTCATTTTGTTCGATCGTCTCACTTTCTGCTTCAGAGTTTATAAGCTCAGATTCTGATCTAGTTGATTCTGAAATTTCTTCGCTGTATTTAGTTGATTCACTTTCTTTCTCTATGGATTTTAAGGAACCGGTTTCTGATCCTGAAGTTTCTTTATTGTGGTCGGTTGTTTCACCTTCTGCTTCTTCAAATTTTGAAAATTTTAACTTCGATTCAGTTGAGTTTGTGATATCTCTATAGTTTTCAGTTGTTTCACCTTCATCTTCTTCATATTCTGTAGATTTAGGTTCTGAAATATGTTTTTGGTGCTCAGTTGTTCGACTTTCTGCTTCTTCAAATTCCGAAGACTCAAATTCTGAAATGTTTTCTTGAAGTTCAGTGGTCTCACCTCCAGTTTTTGCAGATTTATCGAACTCTGATTTAGTTGAATTCAAAAAATTCTCATTTTGTTCGATCGTCTCACTTTCTGCTTCAGACTTTATAAGATCAGATTCTGATGCAGTTGATTCTGAAATGTCTTCGTTATATTCGGTTGATTCACTTTCTTTCTCTATGGATTTTGAAGATTCAGTTGCAGAGTCTGTGGATTCTTTATTGCGTCCAGTTGTTTCACCTGCTTCTTCAGATTTTGCAAATTCCGATTCTGATTCAGTTGACATTATATCTCCATAATGTTCACTTGCTTCACCTTCTGCTTCTGCAGATTTTGAAGACTCAAATTCTGAAATATTTTCTTGAAGTTCAGTGGTCTCATCTTCATCTTCTTCAGATTCATGAAACTCTGATTCAGTTGATCTTGTGAAATTATCTGCTTCTGTTTCAGAGTTTATAAGCTCAGATTCAGATCCAGTAAATTCTGAAATTTCATTGCTGTATTTTGTGGATCCACTTCCTGTTTCTACTGATTTTGTAGATTCCGTTGCTGATTCTGAACTTCCTCTATTGTATTCTGTTGTTTCTCCTTCAGCTCTTTCAGAAATATCAAATTCAGAAATATTTTCTTGGTGCTCAATTGTTTCATTTTCACCTTCTTCAGATCTTGTAAGTTCAGTTCCTGCTTTAGAGAAATTTTTGGTGTCGTGATAATGTTTGGTGGTTTCACCGACTTCTTCTGATGTTGAAGACCTATTTTTTAATGCATTATCTACGTGTTCAGTTGTTTTTTCGGTTTCGGTTGTTTTCCCTGCTTCTATTTCTTCAGATTTCGAAGACTTTGAATAATCTTCTAGATATTCTGTTGTTTCTCCTTCCGATTTTTGATGCTTGGATTCTGATTCAGTAGATTGTGAAAGGTTTTCTAGATGTTTTACGTATTCTGTAATGGTTTCTTTTATTCTCGTGGTGGTATCATATCTGACAGTTGATATTTCTCTCGTTATTCCGTTGCACTCTTCACACACTGTAGAACTGTTCTTCTCATTGAAATGAAATATCTGAGCGGAATCATTATCTTCTGATGACTCAACTTCAGTTTTTTCAAAATCAGATATTTGAAAGTCTGATGTCAACTCTGTTGATTCTGTGATTTGTTTTTGACTTTTTGTAGCTAGTTTTGAGCTCACTTGTTTTTCATGTTTCAACTTTGATACTTCTTCTGTTAGAGTTTCACACTCCATGCATAATGTAGAGCCATGTTTATTCTCATGAAATCTGAATAACTGATTTGAATCATAATTGATCGATGATTCAATTTTTTTAGTAGATGCATCAGTTCTTTCTGGTTTTGGAGAACTTGATATTGATTTTGTAGACATCGTGGTAGTTTTGTGGTAGTTTGTTACTCCAGATTTGGGAAATTTCGATTCTATAGTTACCTTCCTCTGCTGTGTGCTTCCATTTCCAATTTTTTCATTTCCATTAGTGATTCCATTAATGGAGTTTGATTCAACACTTTTTGTCTTTTCACATTCTTGACATAAAGTTGAACTATGTTCATGTTCAGGGAAGTTAAATAGCTGAGCTGAAGCAACTTCTAATCTTATAGTATCTCTCCGTTCTGACTCATTTTTTGTAACGCGGCTGTGGAGTTCTGTGGTTTTCGCTTCATATTTTTCAGTTTTCGTAAATTTTTCAAGTGACTCTATTGAATTTGACGTTTCTTCAGGAAGTTTGTTTTCATATCCAGTTTCTGAGGGTACTGAGGAGCTTCTGGTTCGCTCTGGAATGTTAGGAAGTTCTGACGTCTCTATTTCTCCAGTTGATGCAGATTCTAATTCATGTGTTTCTATCAATCTTTCAACGTATTCGGTACTTTCAGTACTCATGGACTTTGAAATTGATTCATATGTTTCTGAAAATCCTTCATCTTGTTCTGTAGTTTTTTCTTCATTTTCTATAGTTGTACCAGCGTCTATGTGTTGTTTACCTGATTTTATTGACTTCGAGGCTTGATTAGATTGTTCCGTAGTAGGAGACTCTGATTCTGATTCTATAGATTCAGTAAATCCTTCATCGTATTCTATTATATCGACTGTGGAGATTTCTTCATTATGTTTGGTTTTGCCCCCTTTTTCCTCAGATAAGGGAGGTTCTGCTTCAGTCGATTCGGAAATTCCTGCATGATGAACTACAGATGTTCCACCGTGTGTGTCCTCAGATACTGAACTTTTATATTCAGCGATAACTTCATGGTGTTCAATTGTTTCATTTTCAGCTTCCTCAGATTCTGAAGTATTTTCTAGGTGCTCAGACGTTCCAGCTTCTGTTTCTTCAGATTCAGTTTTTTTACTTTCTGCATCTTTCAATTCTGGAGATCTAGTTTCTGAATTTGATCGATGGTGATCAAATGTTTCATCTTCAGATTCTTCTGTTTCTGAATACTCTGATTTTGATTCAGTTGAATTAGAAATTTCTGGTAGGCGTTCAGTTATTCCATTTTCGGCTGCATCAGACTTTGGATGCTCAGTTTTTGATTTAGTAGATGAGGAAACTAATCCACGGTATTCTATTGATTCATTCGAATCTACAGATCCTGAAGATTCTGTCGTGGAATTGATTGAGACGGAATTATTTTCATTATGTTCAGGTTTTTCATGTTCTGCTGTTTCAGATTGTGAAGACTCAGATCCTGAAGTATTGTCTTGATGTTCTGATGACTCAGATTCTAGAAAATCCTCACCGGATTCTGTTGTTTTATCTTCTTTTTCTACAGGTTTCAGATATTTTGTAGCTGATTCAATTAATGATTCTGAATTATCTTCATTGTGTTCAGTTGTTTCATTTTCTGCATTGGCAGATATTGAAATCTTGAATTGAGAAGTAAGTTCATGGTTTTCAGTTATATCGCTTTCAGCTTCATTAGATCTTGGAGATTGAGATTCTGGATTATTATCCTGGCTTCCAGTTGTTTCAGTTTCATAATTTGAAGACTCAGATTCTGAAACATCTTCTTGATGTTCAGTAGTTTCTCCTCCGTCGGATTCAGTAAACCCCAATTTCAACTCAGTTGCCTTATAATTTACAGTTGTATCACCTTCAGCCTCTTCATATTCTGATTTTGTTGATTCTGATATACGTTTTTTGGAATCAGTTGATTTTGAAATGCCCTCCAGATATTCGGTAATTTCACTTTTCACTGCTTCTGATTCAGTTGATGCGGGAACTATATCGTGGTGATCTGTATCATGTCCCGTTCTAACAAATTTCGAAGGTTCTGTTGATAATTCGACCGATGATTCTGATTCATCTTCATTCTGTCCAGTTGTCTCATTTCCCAGTTCGTCAGCTGTTGAAGACTTAAATTCAGAAGTAATTTCATCGTGTTCATTTGTTTCACTTTCAGATTTTTCAGGCTCCGAAGATTTGAATTTTGAATTATTATCTTCGTGCTCTGTTGTTGCACTTTCAGATTCTGAATACACAGACTTTGAAACAGTTTCGACGTGTTCAGTCGTCTCTCCTTCAGCTCTTTCAGATTCAGAAAACTCCGATTTCTGTTCAATTGATTCTGACATACTTCTATACTTTTCAGTTGTTTCCTCTTCAGCTTTTTCATTTGTTTCATTCACTCCTCCATAATAATTTGAAGACTCGTATTCAGGAGTAACTTCATGTTGTTCAGTTTGATCTGTTTCAGCTCCCTCAGATTTCGAAGACTCAAGTTCTGAATTAATGTTATGGTGTTCAGATGTTTCACTTTCAGTTTCCCCATATTTTGTGGACTCAAATCCTGAAATTTTGTCTTGATTTTCACTTGTTTCACTTGGAACAACTCCTTCGTGCTCAATTGTTTTTCCTTCAGTTTCTTCAGATACAGAAAACTCCGATTTCGATTCAGTTGTTACTGACGTAGTTCTATGAGTCTCAGTTGTTCCACCTTCAGCTTCTTTAGATTCAGAAAAATCCGATTCCAATTCTTTTTGTTCAGCTGTAACATCCTCCACATCGTCAAATATTGAAGTCTCGTATCCGAGAGTGATTTCCTGATATTCAGTTGTTTCACTTTCAGCTTCTTCAGGTTTCGCAGGTTCAGATTCGGATATGACTGTTTCCGTTGTTCTTTCAGTTTCTTCTGATTTCGAAGAATCTGATTTTGGAATATTGTCTTGTTGGTCAGTTATTTCACTTTTAGATCCTGATGATTCAGATTCTGAAACAGTTCCTGGGTACTCCATTGTTTCTCCATCAGCTTCTTCAGATTCAGGAAATTCCGATTCAGTTATTTCTGATATATTTGTTTCACCTCCTTCAGCATCTTGAGATTCGAAAAAAATCGATTCTAATTCATTTCGTCCAGTTGTTCCATTCTCTATTTCGTCAAATTTTGAATACTCATTTACAGGTGTAACTTTATGATATTCAGTTGTTTCACTTTCAGCTTTTTCAGATTTTATAGGCTCCAATTCTGAAACATTTTCTTGATTTTCGATTGTTTCACTTTCAACATCTTCAGATTTCTGAGCCTCAAATTTTGAGATATTGTCTTGCTGTTCAGTTATTCCACTATCAAATTTTGAAAACTCAGATTCTGAAACATCTTCTTGGTGTTCATTTTTTTTTACTCCAGCTTCAGAAAACTTCGGTGTTAATCCAGTTGCTTTCGACATGTTTTCGTAGTTTCCCGTTGTTTCACCTTCGCTTTTTCCAGATTCGACCGAATCCGATTCTAATTGATTGTGTTCAGTCGTTTTATTTTCTATTTCATCAGATTTCGAAAACTCTAATTTAGAAATAACTCCATAGTTTTTAGTTGATCCACTTCCAGCTTTTACTGATTCGGAAGACTCATATTCTGGAATATTGTCTTGGCGTTCAGTAGTTTCACTTCCATATTCAGATTCAGTAAACTCCGAGCTTGATACAATTATTGCTTTTGACATATTTTCATATTTTTCAGTAGTTTCACCTCCAGTTTCTCCAAACTTGGGAACTTTCGATTCAAATTTATGTTCGGTTGCTTCATTTTCTACTTCTTCAGATTTTGAAGACTCGTACTCAGGAGTGAATTCATGATATTCAGTTGTCCCACTCCCAACTTCTCCGGATTCTGCAGATTCAAATTCTGAAATATTGATTTGGTGCTCAGTTGATGTACTTTCAGTTTCTACAGATTCAGTTGTTTCCGATTCAGTTCCAAATTTTGAAATGTCTTCTTGGTATTTCATTATTGTACTACTTGTTCCTTCTGATTCGATTGATTCGGAAACTGCTTCACGATATT